GGAGTGGGTCGTGGTATGGTCAAAGTGCGTCTGCAACAATGTACATTCTTGCCACTGTTCTTGAACGAGTGGACTGTGATTTTCTCTGGTAAACCGCTTATTGACCTCCTATGGCTTGATTTACGAAATCGTCTTTTAGGCTTGCGATCCTTGGACTTACGTTCCAGTATACTACCGCTCGAATATCCCGCGACACCTATGACAAATACCATTCAATATACTACGACGAGGTTTTCCGCCTGAACCCGCTCCCGCCAGACGTTGCTGCTAATACGACAGATGCTATCACAGCTATGAGCCCAGACGATCTATCTGTACGGGCAGCTGAAGAGTTGCGTTTTATGCTTTTCCGACATTGGACACTGTACGATGCAATGTACCATTCAAGCTATGTCGCGGGCAAACTTGGCATATGGAAAGAGCGTGGACGGAAGCGCCTTACCGGGCTACTCGCAAAGATGGGGTACACTTTCCTGTATCATTTATTTGTCACGGCTGAAACTCTTCCTCCGTAGTTTCTCTATCCCGCAGACGCAGCAGCCCTATGCGCACATGGATCTTGACTTGAAGCACCAGCTGCGCGCGAAACTCGACTCAATCGCACCGGAATACGGCCTTGTTGAGTTAACTTATCCCTCATTTGCAAGATGCTTTGGATACCGCGCTTCCCCTCTCAGTGCAGCGGATGCTGTGGAAGCAGTAGGCGCATTGCTCGACGTTGCAGGTGGCATCAGGATGGAGGTCGAGGTTGAAGGCGCACGGCACGGGGGTGAGTGGTTCGGTGGCGGGAGATTATGGGAAGGAGGGCGGAACGGGGAGGAGAAGCGGGAGAAACGGATAGAAGTTGGTAGCAGACAAAAGGATGGGGATGACGATGCAGACACAGATGTTAACGGCGAAGAGCGGAAAGAAAGAACATGGTGGGTGAAGAATTTTTGGGCTGCTTATGATGCTCTGTCAGAGTAAGTGCTCGCTCCTCCCGTTGACACGTGTTCTGGAATAACTGTGTTTAGCATTGTACCCCTGAGAGATGCTTTGTCGCTTGCGATGTCGCTCCATCGTGCTATTATTCGGCAAGGGACGTCGATAATAGACAAGCAGGATATTCGAACGATGCGCTCCCATCGTGTCGTGGTGCTCTCACAAGGGCCTGATCTTGCTCTCTTCGCCCATCCTGGGGTTCTTGCACGCCTAGGACTTTGGCTGGTAGATGCGCTTCGTGACCGTCTCCCAGGGACAAAAATCGGCGGCCTCAAAGGGAGAGGAAAGAAGTCGCTCCCATTTGTCGTCGCTTGTCTGAACGAAAGGACGCAGACGTATGTTGTAGTCGGTATCATGGGAGCGCTTGACTTTGGGGACGTCAGGAGAAAGTAAGTCATATGTTCGTCCCTTCTTGTTAGTATTAACATCATGATTTATCTCACTTCAGCGAGTTTGGTCTAGCATTCATTGAAGCAAAGCAACGCTGCAATGCACGGTCACGCCACAGTACATTTGATGCAAGCGTGCTCGAAATCGAGCAGGAGGACCTGAAATTGTTCCTGGAGACCTTATGTGAAGTCGGGGAAGGTTATTGACATTCTCAGGTAGTGTTTTGCATGTTGTTTTTCTTCCCAAGCTGTCTTATATCATATTTGCATCAATAAACTTGTTGTACTCTCTCGATGTCGCCCAATAAAGCAGTACAATAAAATGAGCTCTACAAGTACCTTTATTTGCCTCAGTTCCACCAAATAGGGAACCCAAATCCCCAAGTAATCACAATCAATTTTCACTAGCGGCCGCAAGCACTACATATCAATGATGGTTAATAGCGCGCAATGATTTAAAAGAATCGTACGATGGAGCCACTAGAAGTGATTCTTCATCACCGTGTGTCGCTGCGGTGTTGGATTGATATCGGATAGGTCCGGGCGTGTGGCGTGAAATATGTCCAAAGTTATCAACCGCAGATCGGTATGATTGGCACCTCAGCGGTATGCAATCTGTCAGAACCTGTATCAATGAAATACTGCGGAGCTCAAGAAGATCGTGTCCCTGACAACATTTCGAAATACGGATATTGGCTATACCGTTAACTTACCTTCCTTCCAAGCCCCGAAATGCCCTTTGACAGTCCCGATGGGCGTGCCAGGCGTATCAATCAAAGTGCTAGGCTCGAGGCCCTTCTTCACTCTTTGAAACCTAGGTAAATGAATATGTCAGAGGCACAAAGGTGGTGAAAAGAATGTACCTGGGTAGGTCTGGGCTAGCAGTTATCATATAATTCTGAGTATTGACTCGGAGAATACTAACATTGGATTACAGAAAGAGACGCCGAATCGTCTTTGCCAAAGGTGCCACTCCTGCTGGACTTCGGCGAATGGTCCTCCTGGTGTACTTGTGGTTCGTGAAACTCTATGGACAGATGTGAACAGTGAACCTCCATGGTTTGAAGGATGTGGGTAGCCGTATTCTGACTGGCCAAAGTGACTGACTACCGACCATGGACCGCACCCAGAGGATTTGTGAGACATGGAGGTCCAAAACTAAAGCACAAAATGGACGATGTCCGGGTCAGTATCATTGTCACTGTAGAAGATCAAAAATTTATTCGATGTTTGATACCATATAAGTTGCAACGCTTTTCATTGTCAAGTACTCGAGGATAAATCCGGAAGCACCCGGCCGGGCTTCGGGCGTTATTGAGTAATGATTGGGCATGCGGAACGGGCGCTTTCTAGGCTTGCTGCAATCGACCACAGCAAACGACAATTCTTGCTATCTCCTCTTTCTCGTCCTCATCATCACTGACGACGTCGACAAACGTTGTTTACATCGTCCAAGTCGTCAAGCACATTCGACCGACTAGAATCAGTAACTGACCCCTAGCGCTCAAACTTCTCACTGTAGTCAGCTACTGATCGAGTTGATCGCGATGCCAGCGCCAGTAGCGGTGTACGTCGTTGCAGCTATCGCAGGTGCTGCTGCTGTTTTTGCTTTTAATGAGGTGACTTTCTGTTTTATGTCTACAAAAATCCTATTTCGTCCTCGCTCGCTTTCAAGCACACTCTTCTAATATACTCTTCAGTTCGTTTTCGAACCTCACATCGCCCCTGCCATAGAGCGTTGGGCAGAGGACTTCATTGCCAGGCGTCGTGCTCGACGCGAAGGTGCTGTTCCTGTACCATCCACCAGAGGATCTGGGGATGGAGACCCGGGTCCCAGACGTGCTGATCCGAAGAACAGGACTCCTGCGAGAGAAGAAGATCCCATCGAACTGGAAGGCCTCAACCTCGGCCTCGTCGACGAATGGCGAAATAATGTACATCACACCGCCCAAGGCACGGGTGTGAGGCGGAGAGTCAGAGTATTCCCTGATACAGAAGGGAGCATATCTACCTCAATAGATGATGTATTTCTTCCATTTCCCTCGTATCGCATCCTCTCGAATACTAATAAAACATGTGCAGTCCTTTCCATCCCTCACGCACACTCCGCTCGCACCCACTCACGTCATCTCCAACGTCTCCTCTCCTTTCACAGAAACGCTAACTGTATCTACCAGCACGCCCACCCGTGCTCATTCCCGAGCCTCTTCCCACACCGCAAGTGACGATAACACTACTGTTTTTTTCGCCCCATCTTCCCAGTCTTCTTCTCCTCCTCCTAGCCCGCCATTTGGTCCCATCCTCCCCGACACTCCCCGCACAAGCGCTGCCTACACCGCTCGCCCATTTTCCCCGGTTGTGCGCACGCCCGTGCGCTCCCGCACACAGTCGAGTTGGTCTTTGCACCACTCGGATACGAATTCACGTGTTAGGATGAATGTGCAAGGCAGACGTGTAGACGTCAACGTCGAGGACGAACATGTCGATATCAATATCAACAGCAACACCAGTGCGAGTACGCACGAGAATATGAGCGGGAACATCAGCGTTGTGGAATCACTATCAGAACGTTACCCCGCCGCGCCCACTCCGCCTGTCCTGCTCTCCCCGCCTTTATCACACAGTGTCCTCTCCTCCCCAAATACAGACATCCTGAGCCTTGGGAGCAGTGGTAGCCGCTCTGGTTCGCCATTCGCCGTACTCTCCCCACCCGAGCAGTGCGCGTCGCTCTCACGTGCTGCGAGCTCTCTGTCGCCCTCGATAACGAGCGAGGATGAGTTTATGTCGTTTGGCGAGGGGTCAGACGCGGATGGGGAGGAAACGTCGGTGCCGCGAAGCGGAAGTACGCGTTTGCATAACCCTTTTTCAGACTTTGAAGAGGGGAGTGATTTTGATAGTGGTAGTGAGGGGAGCTGGGGCCGAGTGAGTGCTGGTCGGGGCTGATCCGATCACGTCCTCTTGCCGGATCATCAGAACTGGAACGATAGTCGTGTGGTATCGGGAGAGGGTTGCATCTACTCAGTAGACACGGGGTTTGTTAGTGCAGTATCTATGTGTTCTTTTCCCTCTTTGTCTCTCTATCTGGTTTTCTATTTTGCTCTTGTTTTGTACTCGTCTTGTTCTGTCGCTCTCATAAATTTATGTCGTACATCGTTCCACAGATTTCGAACACTACATGCAAATCAGATTCGTGAGAACGTTAAGTCATTGGGATGATACCAAGAGCTATTTCGTTATTCTTAGGGTTATAAAATCATTATACGGCACTGCATTACCTAATGGTTTTGTTTGACTGGACGCCGACCTTGACAAGCATCTCAGATGCATTGTCGCAAAGCAGGTAGTGTTCTCCAGCTCACACAGTGGAGGTGTGCATCAACAGCAACTAAAGTTAAGGTGGGTACCACTATTTGTTCCATGACATGGTCATAACCTTTTCGCTAGCCATCGGAATGGCTCCCCGTTCATCCTACTCTTCCTCCACAGCCAACCCTGAGTAAATGGGTCACAGCAAAAACGACACCCCTTAATCACAACTGTAATGACTTCCGAGGCGCGTCTTTGCGTGCTGGAAATGCGCCCTCCGCTTCAAAATGGGCTCGTCCTGCAACTCCTCGACCACAACCTGGCATGAAAAATGTAGCCGTTAATGTACACTCTCGTCCCACAACTCCTCGATCGCGACCTGGCAGGAAAAAAGTGGCCGTTAACGTATACATTCCTACGACAGTTTCCGTTGGTCAACTAGCAAGATTATTAAATGTGCGGCAGAGTAAGTTACTGAAAACTTCATGAGGGTTACCTGGACTCAACAATTACAGCACTACTTCAACGCAAGATGGTCGACGCGGGGATGGCAGCTGAGGCATCATACGATCATGGTTCCGCTCCTTGCACCCCTTTCCCGCCGAATTACTGATGCTTTGCTGTAGTGTTGACGTCCGATTATGCTGCCCTTCTTGCAGAAGAATTTGGCCGCAATCCTATCATTAATGATGAAGCTGCTTTTGATATATATCCTCCGTACGTAGTCTGAGATATCTGATGTGCTTGTATACTCATGTAACCTTCAGTGCTCCACATCCCGACCCAACTACCCTTCCCACACGCCCACCTATCATCACTATTATGGGTCACGTTGACCACGGTAAAACCACTCTTTTAGATACCCTTCGTTCAGCGTCTGTTGCTGATAATGAGGCTGGTGGTATTACGCAGCATATTGGTGCCTTCTCGGTCCCTGTCAAGGGATCCTCTAGTGGCACAATTACATTTCTTGATACACCCGGGCATGCTGCTTTTTCTGCAATGCGCTCACGTGGTGCTAGTGTTACGGATATGGTTGTTCTTGTCGTTGCAGCGGATGACGGTGTTATGCCTCAGACAAAAGAGGTTATCAGGCTTATCAAGGGAGAGCAAGGCAAGGTTGGGGTTGTTGTGGCTATCAACAAGGTTGATAAACCAGAAGCGGATGTGGTGGGTTTTTTCTGGCTCGTCTTGTTATGTAGCTTGACAGAAGGGAACTGCAGGAAAAAGTTCAGCATGCACTTCTTGCTGAGGGCGTCCAGCTGGAGGCATTTGGGGGAGACATTCCATCCGTTGAAGTGTCTGGATTGACAGGACATGGACTGACTGATCTAATAGACACCCTGTCATTGATGGCCGAGGTACAGGATTTGCGTGCAGAGCAAGATGGGCCAACCTATGGGCATGTCATCGAATCGAAGATGCACAAAGGTCTTGGGTAGGTTCAGAAGCGTTGTTTCGTGCTAGATTGACCGCCCATTCATTTGCAGGCCCACTGCGACAGTTCTGGTCTTACGTGGATGTTTAACTCCCGGTGCTCACATCCTGGCAGGCACATCCTTCGGGAAAGTCCGTCTGATGTCAAATTCATCCGGTGCACCTGTCAAGGCTGCATATCCTGGAATGGCCGTCACCGTCTCTGGGTGGCGATCACTTCCGGGCGCAGGTGATGAAGTTGTGCAAGGTAGCGAGGGCGACGTAAAGAAAGCTCTTGCAAATAGAGTTAGGAAAAAGGAAGTGGAAACGGTTTTGATTGACGCGGAGGCAATTAATATTGCACGCGCTGCAGAACGCGAAAGAGTCCGGAAGAAAGAGGATAAGAGTCAAGATATGAGGAATATATTAGATGGCGGTCCTAAGGAGCTCCGGCTGGTGATCAAAGGTGATGTAAGTGGGAGCGTCGAGGCCGTTGTGGGCGCGCTGGAGGGGATCGGGAATGAAAAGGCTTGTGTCAAGGTCGTATCCACTGGAGTGGGTGATGTCACGGAGGGCGATGTAATGATGGCCAAGGCTGCTGAGGGTAAGGACCCCGATTTATGTGGGGCCCAGATGCTGATACTGCGCATATAGGCATAATCGTTGCCTTCTCGGTCAAAATTCCACGTTCAGTGGAGACTACTGCGGCACAGAACCATGTCCCAATTTACTCGTCCAAAATCATCTATCGGATCATGGACGAGGTCCGAGACCGCGTCACCGCATTGCTACCTTGCACCTATGAGACCAAAGTTACTGGGGAGGCAACCGTTTTACAACTTTTCGATATTCACCTCAAAGGGAAGATGACTAAGAAGATTGCAGGTTGCAGAGTCAGTAATGGCACCATCGAGAAGTTGAAAGGGGCTCGAGTTGTTCGCAATGGTCAAGTAATCCATGAGGGTGTCCTCGATGCACTTAAGCAGCACAAGAAGGATTTGCTGGAGGTGAAGAAAGGTACTGAATGCGGGATCAGTCTGCAGGACTATGAGGAATTGCGCAATGGCGACTTGATACAGATGTATCAAACGATTGAGATACCTGGCGTATTATGATCCGGGATGTTTCAAAGTTGAGACTATGGTATTTTTATCTTTACACTAGAATTTTAGACTAGACTTTTTCCATTGATCCCCCTCAATCTTCTAATCGACTCTATTTGTATTTTGCTCATCAAGCACTAGATCTTTGCCCCCAATGGTGCCCGTTCGGCCACCTACACCGAAAGTCAAACTGATGTTGCCAAGATCACGGGTTGTCTTTTCGAGTAAAGTCCAACTCCTGGTATCAAGTTTCTTGAGGACCACTTCGACCTTCGTATTATAAAATTTGTACGAAGACCCATCGGGATTCACTGGACCAAAAAGAATGATTGTACGGCGGAAGCGCTTGGGTCCAGGGAGATAGAGGTCCAAGTGGATTTGATTGTCCTCTATCGCAACAGTGCTCTTTTCCTTGTCCACTTGTTTGGCAAACACAGAGATGTGGACCTCCTTTGGTGTCTGATAATGGTCGACACGGCAGTCAGTGAACTGCTCCACCTAAAATGACACATTAAATCCAGTCCTTCAAGTGATAAAGTGACGGAGAGAGAGCAAACCTGAAGTTCTGTACGCTGCTTGGGCGCAAACACGTGGCGCCCCTTTTTACACCCCTCAATCTTGAGGAACTCATCGAACTCCAAGACACGTCGTTTACAGCATATGTAACCCTGTGGGTGGGGATTTAGCCTCTCATCGGTGCGGTGCCCACATGACTGACCTTGCTTCCTTCATGAAAGATGGGCTGAAGTCTTGAGTCAGCCGACAGGCGAGCCCACCATTAACACCATCAACGTACAACAGCTGGGTGGTATGTGCAAACAGTTTCATCGCCATCTCCAATTCGATTCACCTCATCACTGACAAAAGCAGTACCGCAACTTCTGCGTTTACACACAGCGCCAGGAGATACGGGCACGTTGAGATCATCTTCATCTTCAACAACAGGAGCTTCTACAGGTGGGGGAATGGATGGCTTAGGCGGCGCAAGCTTCGGTGTGCTGGTCGAATAAACCTCCGCTCCGTCTTTTGCCTCCTTCACGATAAGATTGGAGGCGATCGAGGACGTCTTTATAGCAGGAGCAGGTACTTCTGGGGCCTTGTCTGTATGCGACGAGACCGTACATCCCTAGCGATAAAATCGTCAAGACACATTGCTGCGATGACTGAAGGCCCGCGGACTACTCACAGGTACTTTCATGAACTCGTCAAAGTCCAAGGCTGGCTTATTCACATCGGAACAACAAGACCACGACTTCAAGCCTTCATGGAAGACCTACAGGCTGGACTAAACTGTGATGATTCGACGTTAAGATGTTACAGCGGCTCACAGGTGCTCCAGAATGGTAGGTGCAGCTGGACGGATCATTAGTAGCTAAATCGAAATCCTGGCCACAGCCTTTTCGTGTACAGCGCGGCATTTCGAGTTGAATATGAGTTGCAATCAAAGTACTCGGGAACCCTGGGGTGTGCACGTTCAAATTTATCGCTGTTTCAAGTATCGATCGACGAATTGGTTCATTCTAGTTCATTCTGCTAAGTTGCTTACATAATCGTTTCAGATCAGTATCTGGTGATTCTACCAAATACCACATATTCTCGTCTTGGCCAGCCAGCACGACCCGCTACGACATCCGACTGCGCGTATTACACCCCTTCGGAAGCTACTTATCGACGAGTATATTCTTGCTCTATTTAATATTGACATTACAAATTTGTACACACAATTATGGTGGCATTTTACTAGTATTTATGCAAAAGACTCCATGAAGTGGTGAGGCCCGCTGAGCTTGGCAGCGTTCATTAGTCTCAGCGTTTCTTCGCGATGCCGAGCAGTTCTAACCCCGAGTACTCAACCATACACGCCTACCCCCGTGCCCTGACTGTTTCACGTTACCCTTATCGCTCCACACTCACACCCTCAGATGCGAGGCGCGGGTCAAATGGACTGTTTATACAGGGAGTCCACTACATTACTATTTACTATCTACATAACAGGGCACAGAACCACACGTGAATAATAAACGATTTCTCTTGCAGGAAAGAATGGCTCATAAGAGGTTGCATTATAATTATGGAAGGGTCGACGGAGACCTTGCCAATCAAAGCGGACAGCATCTTTTCACAGAAGTGCAACGATCCTGTGGGACACTTATATTACCGCACCCTGCGGATCACAGCCATACGTTATGGCGGAGTCAAGATATCATGACTCTGACATTAAACCGAGTGCTCGGCGGTCTCGATATCATTGAATGTCGATAGAACGGGGGTCAATCACGAACAAGGTGATCCTATTCTGCGCTGCGATGACGAAATTTGCATTGGCACAAAAGAAGGACATGATCTATGCTGCCTATGCAGGCTCTTGATCATCGATCATAACGAGACGATTCACGTCATGCAGGATTCCCGGATTTCGCACCATAGACAACAAGTCCAGTGGCTTATCGGGAAAATACAAGGATTCGACATGTTTCGGATATGGGTAAGGCTTGGACTGATATCGCCACAACACGAGAGCAGGCCTGCCATGAAAGGTGTCATTAATTTGACGGAATGAACAACATTGCGGACTATAGCAAGCTTTATACTTAGTAAGCTGATTCACAAAGAAGGTCAAATGACTGAACGTTCGGTAAGCAGCAATCACGCGGCTGTAAAGTAACCAAGTGTATGCGAGGCCTGGAGGCCTGGCCAGTGGCGATGTTACTGAATGCTTAAATGTTCAACGATATGATTTAGGCCCCGCTCGTGTCCACTCGCACAATCTGTATGATATTATCAGTCTTTCGTGTGGTCCGAAGGTATGCAGAGCGGCCAGGGAGCATGTCTTTATTTTGGCGCCTCGGTCATGAAACCAAAAACCATTACCAGGAACATGAACTTGGCCTCGTTAAGTAGCAGGTTTGCCGCCTTGAAGCAATCTATCGTAACTGTCATTGTTCCATTAGAGGTTGGAGTTCCATTGTGACAATGGAAGCATTTCCTTGAGCCGAGGTTCTCAGAGCTATAAGATCCAGGTGTCAAGCGTTCTCAGACCGTGCGGCAAGGGCCGCAAAGCGCTCCGATACTGCCATAACGCTCGTGTCGTTGCCGATCAGTAATTCGCCCGCAGAGTTGTGGAAGCTCCGCAAATCGCATGGGAAAGGAAGGATCACGACCGAACAGCAGGAGCATGGAAAATTGGCAATGGGATGCTACGCCCTATGATCCTGACTCGACAATCAGTGCGTGTTTACGCTCCTTGAGTGGATACTTACTTACTCCTCGGGGCGCAGCAAGCAGGGCTACAGAAAGACTGTTAGCGCCCGGCGATGCCCCTTGCAGTGAATTGTATTGTACTATTCAATCGACTTACTTTATATGCTTTCAAGTTTAGTGATATGGCTCAAACAACGCAAAATTTTCGCACCGATTTGCCCCCTTTGTTCGCAATGATGTAAAAGTGAATGGGAGAAAATTTGTGTCTTCACGAGTGAGTATCTGAAGTTCGGATTTATTAAGATAAGTTTCAAGGAGGGTCGCATGCTTTAAACGCGGTTCTACGAACTCAAATAGCACAAGTTAGCACTCACTGATGCCGCAGTGCCACAAGTTGATGCTGTGCAGCCGCTAGTGCGAAGATCGTACGTACGTAAGACGATCGACCTTTTGAGTTGGACTTCCCTTGGCTAGAAACATCGTAGGCAGAATACTTAGGCTTATTAGCGTCTATCGGTAAAATCTGCACATGAATTCACCTCTGCCGCTGGCAAACCGTGTTGTTTATCACCAGAAAGGTACTCACTCGTTGTGAGAAATACGGTGAGAAAATGGGGTTACGTTGCACGATTCTAACCTGCCTGCATGGGATAAGTACCTGGGATACATCTTATCCACACGCCGATCGTAGTTCTGTCACGACAAACCCGGTCCGAAAGCCTCCCATACCAAAAAGCCCAAACCCCATGGGCCGACTCGAGCAAGCGTTCGGACGCCGGAATATATCCGACGACGAGCGGTAGGCATCTCCGGCCTTTCGCTGCCCGCAGTCGAAGGATCACGGAAAAATTGTATTATCCCATCCCCACGAATTTTCTGCACAATCACGAATAGTGAATGTTTCAGAGTGGGATCAACGGTTCGTTCTGATTGAATTGTGCGCCTGGTTACGTCCCATGGTCTGCTGAGGATCTCGTATGCCAAACCCGCCGATGCCCCTCCTGCCACTAAGGTAATGCCATGAATGGCACGTGGAAAATGGCGGCCGAAGAAGTGTTCCTCTGGGGTCATCGATAAATTTTGGATAGTGCCTTGCGCTGCAGCTTTGGAAGCTAATGCCACTCTACGAGTGATTTCAAATATCATAAAGAATGCAGCAAAGCCTGGACAACGATGAAATCTCAGAAAGTGCGGGTTGTGACTCATGGAGGTATTACCGCAAACATCTTTGGCACATCCCCAACCCCAACCATCCCACCCCCGACCAGCCATCTCAGAAACCTCCTTCATCCAATGCCTGACCTGTCTTATCTCTTTTATATTGTCCACTCTACTGGCAGATCTTGGGGGTTCGGTTCCTCGGAAGACTTCTTGCCACGCATGAGACCATCCTCTACCGGTGCCACCCTCAATAATAAGACGGGTATTCTCTACAGGAGCCGCGATTAAGGCTTGCGTACCCCCAGCAGCAGCGCCCGAAAGCGCAGCGATTAAAGTTGGGTGCGTCCCCAGACGCGCTTCCAGGTAATTAGATGATTCTGTGTAGGTCGTCCACAGAACAGTACCCAACATCGCATTTGCGACCATTGGCGGCACAAAATGTTTTGGGATCACCATGAACTGTCAAAGTCTGATTAAAATTAAAGCAAAGGTATGAAATAACTACCAAAGAATACTACACCTTGCTTTTTCACGAGCGTGGATATGTACTGGACACTTAAAGATGCCCCATGCTTATTAGCATGACCACGAAGAGAGTGCCAACCGCTCACTCAATGATGAGCGTTGTCAACGAGACTATTATAAAAATATCCAGACAGACAAACCTTTGGCTGGTCGGAATAATCGTACCGGGCGAGAAAAGTAAAGTGCTACTCCCCTTGTGGCGGTCCTGGCGAGTGCTGCGTACAACGAATTGCCTTGTTGTTCTTTGGATGCATTGTCCTCGAGATTTGTCGACATTCACACCAGCTAAGTTGCTGAACCCCGAGAAGTACCGTCAGACAAGTTATCGCTTTCTGTGTAGTCGGTAAAAGGTAATACTTCATGCAGCGGAGCTCAAACTTAGAGTTGACAACCAGTGTCTGCAAACTGGCTGAGTCACTCTGCATCCATTCCACTCTTGTATGATTGACACATCAACTTTTCATCTTACATCTCTTGAAGTTCGTGGTCTGGTCGAAGATGTTCTCTGCCAGCTATAGACGATTATTATACGCACCGTTGTCACGCGAAATGCACACCTTACGAACCAGGTCCGCTGGCCTCCCGGAAGGATTCAAGTTTTTCCCGGAATTTCTGTCCCTCTCCGAGCAACGCACAATGCTCTCCGCCGCACTCTTTAAACTCGACTCTACCGAAACCAAACACGCTCGGAAGAAACGGAGGGACTTCCTTGCCAACCACCCGCAGGAGCATCGTGTGATTGAGGACATTTTCCTTCCCGACGCATACTATAATTTCCAAGAGGTTGCATATCGTATTCGTTGTCAAGAGTTTGGCTGATCAATAATTACAGGGCCATTATGATGGCGTGATACGACATTATCGTGAGATGCACTTGTCATCCTGGCCGGAGGATCAGAATCCGGGTCTTTCGTGCATTCTAGCTCGTTTGCAAGGGCTATATCCAACCTCGAACATACAAACACATCTTCTACACCTATCATCCGCAGGGGAGATTCTCGAGCATGTGGATAATATAGAAGCCAGTGGAACTTGGATTCTCGGTGTCAGCCTTGGGGCCGCCAGAATATTACGGATGGAGTCGACAAGCAACCCAGAAGCGTCCTTCGAGGTTCTACTCCCATCGGGTAGTGTTTATTTGCAAATGCAAGTGCAGTCGATATGCCTTCAGCTTGAAGCTAAAAGTCAAAGTAGGGACAGCGTGCGGTATGACTATAAGCACTCTGTACTAAAAGCGGGCGGTGACATCAAGGCTGGCCAACGAGTCAGTATAATGATCAGAGTAAGTGGATTGTTCTTCACAGATATGGCGCATAATATTTTGTCACGCTCAGGACCGAAAGGAAGTGCCTACATTCAACACATAAGTGAGCTCGTTGCATTTTGATGTCTTTACTAAGGAGGAAAGCACATTTCCATACTGGTCTGTTAGAAGGCTATTTCTTCAGCAACGACACACTTGCCAATCCGGGACTGTGTCGTCGTATGGTCCGATAGACAGGCACTGGCGATTTTACCGCATATTTCATTCAACTAGCGCCTTTCCTTCGGGCTTCCGTCCTGTTTGGACTCAGCTTGATCTGAATATTATGATTTCCTAATGTTGTGCTAGAAGTACGACAATTACACTATCGCTTATACTCACTATCTGATAGGAACATACCAAGCTCGAATGAAATCGGTGCTCACAGCAATTTAAATGCAGCAATACTGTTCGTTACGGAGCATGCATTTGGGGTGGAATGGAGATGATATGTCACAGCAATCCCTGCGAAAAAGCGTGGCTCACAAAATTACCGGCACTTGCGAATAGATCGAGGGGATAAGTTTGTGTTGATATATATATACACATAGGTAGGAGTTCCGAGTCACTGAATGAAAATTACCTTATTTAGACCTTTGTGCACGTATCGCCAGATCTCAATCACAGATATTGCCATGTATACCGAGACTTATACTATTATAAGTATCGAGGTGAGCTGTAGGACGGCATTGCGTCCCGTCGGTCCTCTCGCAAGACAAGAAGTGCTGTCACATCAAGATGTGTTTAGTGCACTGTGAAAGTTTTGTATGACCTCAAGAATAGTGAGTTTTTCCGACAGCCGATCCTGTCTAATTTATGTAACACATACACTTGCTCAACGTTCCCACAGTCGATCTCGTTGGACATACATAATGATACTGCGCAATCGTGGCGCTACGTATTACTAGGATAAGTGTCATTGTAGCGGTCGTAGCAAGCACGTAGAATTAGATTTCCTGATCTAGCAGCGATTCTCTAACATAATAATGCACATGTAAATTACGTTAGAAACTTCTTCACAATAGTGATGTAGACGCAATTGAACCGGCATGCTGAACGACCAAGTTAAGCTCGAGCTTCTGCTACGTATCCACTCCTCGATCGAGTGCCGTTCAACAACTGACATACTAATGACACACCCCCAAAAATTTCTGGTTGTGTGTGTTTGCGACTTGATGCCCAAAATTTCTGCGAAGCGAGGAAGACGACAGCAGCCAGAGGTTAAAAACGGCCTATCCGGTTCTAGAAGGTCAGTTATTGCCACTTGCCAGGCCTAGAGGGTATATCATTTGATTCCAGATAGTATCTTTCCACGAGTCTTTGTCGAAGGAAACCCCCGCGAACCCCGATTTATCCTCGCTTTATAGCAATGACGTGGATGTTTTTTTTTTGCTTCCGCGACGAAACCTACCCATGCTCTGTTCATTCTGCCTAGTCACCGGTCACCAGTAGTCACCCCAGTTGTGCGGGACAATCATGAACTGTTTATTGGAAAATCAAAGACATGCATTTTCTGGGGCTGCAAAATGCTCTCGCCGGATTTATCAGTTCCCAATCCCTTGGTAACTCACATGCCACGCGACCTTGGAAGGCAGATCCCAACAGATTGATTGATCCCAGGATCTCCTTGACTAAAGTGCAAGAAATCGATCGCAGATATAAACGGATGAGTTACATGTGCGACGAGACGAATGAATACAGTACTAATGATGCGATGATCCTGTAGGTCCATGAATGTGAGATGTGCAATAAATAACTCTATGTGGGTGGGCTCTATAGGTTGTAAATCTCATTGGTTTACTTTTACAAGGCTGGACACCCTGAACGTATTATTAGAAAATGACATCACTTATGAATCAGCGGAGGACACCCACGGTAGCTGTGCGTGGCCTTCTCCATCTACCTTCACCACCACAATCTGGGTGCCCTATAATATGACTCATGAGAAGAATGTCTTCTGAGATGATGTAGAATTCCTACATCGGCCATACGGTTGGTAGCCTGCACAGTACCGTACTTGATTTCACCGCCAGATGCCCAGTAGAAGACTCGAGTGCCATTCTAGGAGTTCGGTCAGGATGAGTGTCAAAGTCAGGTAGGATGCAGCAGCTTACTGGGAAAGCGTTCATAGCCAAAACAGTAGAAACCGCACACAAACGTTGAGTGTGGAGAAGTTGGGGGCTGAGAGAAACATGATACCGTCCTCCTGTTTTATATGCAGTCTGTATGCAGATTAGTTCAACGCCTTCGCTCGGTGATAGGGAATTCAGGCTAGCCCTTCTTTCTGAGAAACCTGAGGAGGGCCGTGTCTAATTTGTCCCATATGCCGCTGAATGGTTGGATTGTGTGGAAATGAGCGAGGTCGCTTACAGTGAAGGAAACCTATAGACACGTTAATTAGGTGGCAACCCAAGGAACAATTGCCGAAAGCTTTACTAATTTCATTTGGATTTGGATGGATGATATCGAGATTAGTCTCGCCGTTCGAGAATCCGATGAGGCTGAACTTTAAATCAAATGCGATGCTTGCCCGTTGAGAAGGGTCATGAAATTTTGAATGAATGAGGTCTAAGAAGCTGAGGTACAGACCCAAAAGACAACCCTTGCCTCGCGGCTAACACGTAACAATCCGTGCGCCGCGCACGCAGACTGTGGAAGGTGCACGGGCTCAATGTTATACCAGAGCAAATACGCACAGGTAAACTGCCACATGTTAAATAGTTCCACTTCATCAACTAGTAGCGTAAATGACAAAGGGTCGCAACTCACCCTACTCCGGATCGTCATGTTGATCCTCGGAGTCGATCCGTCAGAGCTCCGTTTCATGAATATGAAGTCGAATATTGAGAACTCAGTGGACCCTCATCTTTGGATCTCCAGCAATGTGCCACGAAGAAAAGTATCATGCCAGGCAAAGGTACAGAGTTCAACCTACAACCTTCAAAATATTGATACCAGCGTCAAACCAGTGTTTTAGGTAAGATGAGTAATAATCACATTGCATTCGTCACAGGTCACGCTGTCACATCTTCAGCCCTTCTTTGTTCAAGAACGCCAAGATGTCTGTAATCCTTGTCACTGGATCTTATGATCATGAAATCAGGTTCTGGGAAGCATGGAGTGGGATTTGTTCGCGTACTATAGCAAGATCTGGAGAGTCTGGCGTGAGCAAAACGTTTTACCATTTTACGTCGTCAAGACTTATACAAGAATTAGCAAGTGAATCGTCTTGCCATCTCACCCGAGTAATCTCATTGTCCTGTTTCTTCATGTATGAATTTACTGATAGATTCATTTTATGTTAGCAAACGCCTTTTGGCTGCAGCAATTCACAAAAAGGTCTACATTTATGAGATTACCAGCACCTCCTCGACACCAGTGCGCGTCCTAATATTTGCTACCATCTCCATCTATTTATCCCCTTTAGCTAACGTGCCTAGATGCACATACAAATAATGTAACCTCCGTGTCCTTCCACAGCGAAGGTAAGTGGTTGGTGACGGGTAGTGAAGACGGCACCATCAGAATATGGGATCTTCGGTGGGCGGTCTCACTATGACTCCTAAAGCCTCAGGCGCATAACATCCACGCAGAAGTACACAAGTGCATAGAACGTACGATAACGGTGCCCCTGGCAAGTCTTATCCCTTCTTTCATGACTGTTGCTGATCCCTCAAACTCCCAAGTGAATGATGTCTGTGTCCATCCAAATCAGGGAGAACTCATATCATGCGACCAAGCGGGTTGCATTAAGCAATGGGATTTATCCGAAAATCTCTGCTCGCACGAGCTGGTATGTTCAGAACAAGGTTGCAGTCGTCATTGGTTGACATCCTATCGGAGACGCCTGCAGGCGATGTTCCGATTCGGTCCGTCAGCTTGGCATCTGATGGCTCTTGCCTAGTTGCAGGAAATAATAAGGTACTATCTACCTTTTGATGATTCGCTGTTTACATTCTTGGCGTAGGGCAAATGCTACGTCTGGAAAATTAACGAGGAGAAATCAGATCTACCTCGTTACCAGGCAGTGACAAAGTTCAGCGCCCATAAGAAGTACCTCACTAGGGTGTTACTAAGTCCAGATGTGAAGTGAGCGCATTTGAGCTACCGATTTAGCAAAGTCTCTGAAGGAGAGGCAGATATCTTGCCACGTGTTCTGCAGATACCACCGTGAAGATATGGTCTATATCACAAAATTATGAATTCAGACAAGAGAAGGTTCTTCAAGGCCACCAACGATGGGTTTGGGATTGCGCATTCAGTGCTGATTCAGCTTATCTTGTTACAGGTGAGAAATTCATTCATCTGTCGACTCTATAATTGCCTTATGTATCCACTCAACTCTTAGCGTCCTCGGATCACACTGCCCGGCTCTGGGAGATGGCATCTGGAGAGACTGTGAGACAGTATAATGGCCATCATAAAGGCGAGTCGTTGTGTCCCAGTTTACGAGGAAAGCTGAAGGACGCCTCCAGCGGCTGTTTGCTGTGCACTCCACGATGGTGCTGGATAGTTTTTGTACGTATCCAACACTATCTACATCGACCGCTCTGTTCCACCAGCCTGCGAATCTACGAAATAGTCATATTTATCGCGATACTCAATTCAGTTTTTATCGGCGAGTACTCTTTAGGGTGCCGTCGGCCTGTTATTTTGAGTCGCCTGTAGAGATGTGACCGATTTTCGAACTTCCAGAGACTTCTGCATTCGCTTCGACGTTCGGGCTTACACATACGACTTCCCCGGGATTGATATCAAGTAAGCTGCAACAGGCAAGGCAGCGCTGGCGCTGAGCCATTCTCTCCTTTAATCCTCTAAGGCGCAATGAAGTAAGTCCTCGGTCTTGGTGATGCTTCTATGCTCCATATTCAGCAACGCGTCCCTCTTGGTAAATCAAATATTGCGAATTGCACATCCTTGAATATCAACCCAATCAGGGAAAGATGCCCACACCAACTCCGCGTCAGTTGTTTCTCTGATTATTTGATGAGACAGAACTCTGATTCACATCAAGCCCATCTGCATCCAAGATTCTGGAGCATGGCAAAACATGGTACCATCAGATCTACCAAAAGATGGGACTTTGGTCAGTTCTTACCTCATGATCATGTCCGCAGAGCAGTGCTACTCCCCAAATTTTTAAGTGCTTCTCTCGGTCCTAAAGTGGATACGCGTCTTCCCCCAACTATCATCCGGTCGGAAATAATCAGTTAACGGCTGGGTCTCATTATCACCGGCACTGTCACGAACCTCCTGTGTGTTGCGTCCCTTTCCCAAGCGTTTCTTATGCCTTCGACTTTGGGGTCGCAACAACCATGAAGAACTCCTCGGTATCGGAGAAGGAACCGATAGATCATATTCGTGTGACCATCGTACATCCCCTCTGGAGTTCCTTCTCGTCTTGCCAGCTGACCGCAGCTTGGGCTGACACCTGAGACCCAAGCAAATAAAAGTCCGCGACAGGTGCTAATTAGGGGGACATATTCAAATTTAATGCATTCATAATATGTCTGGGGATATGGATCACAGCTGTCCATACGACTTTTCTGACCGTGTCTCAGGTGTGACCTGGTGTTCGCGGCCCGCCTTCGTGCCGCTGGAAAATATAGGACTGTTCGGCCGAGATGTCTTGAGTTGGCACCATCAAAGTTCGCAGACTTCGATAGTTGAATCAGTTTATCTTTGCTCAGTGATCAAAGGTAGTGATCCGTAGCAGTAGCAAACGGATCAGCAACCAAGCACGACTACTGCACAATTGTATTCATCTCAATATCTTATGTTGAAGCGATACGGCCGGTCAAAGTGGGATTCGAGTAGTGCTCGACGTTATAAGACTCCGTACAATCAAAGGTAACATCGTGGATTCATCTTTTGCTGAGTTTGGGCCCCCGGGTCCGAGGCTTTGCTTGCTACTTACGTGCAAACACGAAGACCGTCATTGGACTTTGAAGTTGCTTCCTCAACATTTTCAATGCTTCGTTTTCGTGGTCTCAAGCATCGTCGTCCTTCGATTTTCAATCGGACCGTGCACCGATATACGGTCATCATCAACCCCCGCGTGACTCATGAGCAAATATGAGGCCTAGGTGTGAGCTGTACCACTGTAAGAATTTTTTCATGTTCATATCGAAGAATGAGCGGCTTAGCAGGATCCATTATTCACATACGTGGGTATCAGGGACTCCTGCCGTTGGCCGTTGGCCCGGGCATCAATGCCACCGTTACCGGCATGGCGACAAAACTCGCCCAAAGGACGAACTGGTACGTAGTCTCCCCTAGTCGGACTCATCAAAGAAAGATAGTCGTTTATTACGAGGTATCGTCGGTCCTTGGCGGTCAGTGCACGCGCGCTCATGCCCAAGGCCGATTCAACACTTTGAGAATATTGGCGCTGTCCGAAGACTTACTGTATCCCCGACTCTTAGGTCATCATTTAAACGCAAGTTAAACCGTACTTGGACTCTGAATCACAACCGACCACAACTACAGAGGCTTCATTGCCCTGCTTACATTTCCCTCCACTCACAGGTTCATCCGAGCATGGAAAACACGTTGGCGGAACTGATCAGAGGATGTAGCTGGGTCATATATATATGACCCATCTGCATAAGATAACATGATGCAGGCGTGAACATGAATATCCTCTTGACCTCGTTTGAGGCCGAACTCGACTTTGCTGCATCACCACCACCGCCATTTCGCCTTCTCGGATGCCTTTGTAGCAATTCAAAGCTTCGAATGGTAGTGATGAAGCATTCGACTTCTGATGGCTTCATATCATATACTTTGAGATGTGCTCGTGAAGTCACGCTTTCACAATAGTTATAGTCCTTTTTATTGCTGTGAAGATGAAGATTGCTTTGAGATTTTCGAGGAAACAGCATATTCATAACCCCTGGTTATAACCTTTGTAAAGGCAGATTCTCGTCGTGCAATCCATGAATCATCTGCAGTCAGAAAGCTTTGATGAAAATCTGCAGAGCTCAGATCTTCACCTCAGCGTGGCCCTGACAGTGATCGTACCGGTTAATCAAGTTCTTCGCCCGTGCCATCTTGTTCCTCGGGTTGATCGAGATTCGGACAGCCAAAATAATTTTATCTTGATAGGCACATCGACTTGGAGTTGTTTGAGCGCTTGTCATGTCAACAAAGAGCCACACAAATTCAATGGAATACATACATCAGTACACACTGACGCCAGATGTCGAAAAACTCTTTGCCGTAAAGCTTCGTGATGGGGAGGAACTTGAGGAATACAAAAAATCAAGAGCACGCGACTGCCCGTGGTAGGGTCTGGAACCCCGAGCGCTTCTCGGATGGCGGACGTGAGATTCGTGAACTGGTGGTGTCAAAGTAACTGGGGAATGCGATCTTTTGCACCTTCGCAATTTCCTTAACCTTGTCCAAGATTTCTGGCTTGCTAGCTGCAGGACCACGTCGGTGCCCCGTTCTTGTAGTCCACAGTGCGTCACTCCTTCATCGTGGCTGGTGTGAAGTACTAGATCCATCGTTCGAAGGTCCTTGATATTGAATTCGTGGCATTGTTTCCCCTCAACTTGGAATGGGAGGAAGTGCTTGTTTCGGTCCCAATCGTGAAGCTCGAAGCGTTATAAAGCATACCACAGCACCATGAATTGCGGGAGATCTTGACTAAAGTTGATGCCCGAGCACTGAACCAATCATAATACCAAATCCACATGACACCGCCTGAAAAAGTTGTGGCAAGTGCGCGGCCAATCACAGACGAACAACTCCACCGACGACGATCATATTTAGCAGACAATTGACTGCAAAGTTGGACGCAAACAGTTTGGGTGGCGTACAGGCGCTCTGTGTCGTTGATGTCGTGCAATATTTTCTGAAGCGGCTGACCGTCTTCACGATTAGGATGGCAATAGGGTGAATCGTCTCTGTCAGGATAGAGGTGAAGGAACATGGGAGGATATATTCTTTCATCCTTATCCTGAGTCTGACGGTAGTGATGTTCCGGCCCGGCTTGGCCCAAAAGCCGCGGCTTTGGCCTGGCCTCAGGCAGCTCTGGCCTGAGCTGCGGCTCGAGTAGGGAATTTGCGATTCTGACAAAGTGAGCATGAGCAGGTCGCTGTGGAACGATTCAACCACATGACTCACCTGCGCGCCTCAGAACGCAGTTTTGACCTGCGCATATATTCCATGAATGTTAGATTTCAATAATGAATCGCGGCAGTCGAGAGCGGCGGTGAAATGGTCGGCGGCTTCTTCGTGACATGCGCCACCTAAGACTTTGATTCCAAGTTGAACGTGTAGATATGCCTGATGTGCAAGTTGTAAAGATGAGTGTTGATGACCAAGCATAGATGATACTTACTTGCACGACACGACATACGAGAATGTCGGCATGTGGACAACCGGTAGTGAGTTCTTTGAGGAGTAGGTTTGCCTCGTCATATTGATCTGCATTGAAGAGCGCGATGGCCTAAAGTATGCGATGATGCGGGGAGGACGTCAGGCAAATGCAACATACTTTGATTAAGAGCAGAGTTTGTGAATCTTGGTCCGTGTACATTGATGCAACATCAAATGCTGCCCTCGCATCTGGGACACGGCCTTGTCTGTAGAGAGCGATACCCTTGGAGAAATAGCCTGTCAAAGAGGGCTGAATGCTAATGGACTATGTAGGCTAGGGCCAGGGTGAGCGAGATTTGGAAGGGGGTATATGAGTCGGTGGTGCCGCTGAGGAGGGATTCTAGGTGGAGCAAAATCAAGCGGAGCATGAAATCGATTATGCTTGATACTCCGAATTACATTAACACCATTAGCGCTAACTTAAGCCCCTCATGCCGACTAACGAGTTGAAGTTACCTGTTGAGCTGTGGCTCCTCGTTTTCGCTTTCGGCAAATTCTCCTCTAATGACCTAGCTGTACTCTGCAGAGTGTGCGCCGGCCTCTATCACGCAGTAGTTGACTCTCTGTATGAGTCTATCACGGTCGACAACCCGGACGTGTGTACCACGCTCGCAGAGTGTCCCCATCTCGCAGAGAAAGTCAAATCTTTCGTATTTACATATCCGACAATAATGGTCTACGACGGTCCCGAGGTGAACATAGATAATCTCACGTCGGCCCTCAAAAATATGACTTGCCTCTCAACACTCAAGCTTATCTATTCCCAAAAGCATGGATACTCGTCCGTCCTTCAGTACTGTGATGCCGAGCTTCATGTTTTTCATTGTACCTACCGTGTCAACCGCCGACTTCTAAGCTTTTTGAATAGGCAGGATAGCATCCGTGATCTTGCTCTCACTGGCATGCCCACACACGATATCTATCCCGAAAGCGAGGAGATGTTTCTTCCTATGTCTCTGCCACTTCTAACAGAAATCTCTGCCAACTCTTGTTTTTTAAAAGCCCTTGTACCTGGACGCCCAGTTCACACTGTGCGTTTCAAAGGCCAACATGTACACGACAGTGGGACGCGGCTCAGCGACTTCATCGACCCCTCCACAGTACCTGTCAAAAATTTGGGACTTGATTTCATGATTTGGCTGCCGGCAGAAATATGCTGCACACCACTTTCCAAGGACATTGAGGAAATTACGCTGACAGGTCTGGTTACTCAGGTCAGCGATGCTGGTTGAATTTATAGCAGGGTTGTGACTGACAGCCATATAGCGCCTAATCGGACTGCTTCGGAATCCCTTTATGGAGGCAGTATTTTAATCGCATGATAGCAGACGCACGGAATTTAAAAAGGCTTACGTTCTGGTTCGAGGGAAAACGCGAAGACACTCGTCCATGGGCTCAATTTCTCTTCCTGGAGTTCTATGATACACTCACGTTTGGAGCACATCTCATGCGTAGTTGCCGGACCACACATTTCAAGGTCATTCGACTTCTCGTCGGGTTATCTCCCGATCTCGCATGAGGACCATAGAACCCGTGGCCATAGGGCCGCGAATGACGTTAGGGAGCTGATGCCGGTCCCGGTCCTTTGTTGCAGGAGTGAGGAAAACCTTTGCGATGTAAATTGTGAATTCAACGTCACATTCGTTTAATTTTTGTGCTCTAGCCTCTCCCTGCCACAGCGGCATTCATAATTTCAGTGGCAGGATTTTTAAAAATCCCATTTATTGTCTTTGGGCAGCGCCCGATGTAGATTATACTTTTGTGTAATCGATGGTGACATTGGTGTAATTATGAACCGGCCGTTACTAGGTGCATCGTACTTCCAGCTGTCGCCCGCTTGACCGTTACACCAAAAGGCAGTGATCTCGTGTTTCAGTATCGCGGACAGTATTATGGGAACTAGTACGTGAGGACGAAAAGATGGCTGGGGAGGCCTTCATTTTACGCTCGATTGGAGCGGATGTGGTGATCCAGGCGGTGTCACTGTCAAAGGACGGTCTCCCGTATGCTCCTCACGGAGACCTATTCCGTCGAAGCTTACCGCATGCGGAGACCGAACTTCATCGAGGCAATAAAGGGTGAGAAATCGTCCCTGACTCTTGCTCAGTGTAGCACTGTCGAAGCAGAACCTGAAACAACTTGAACATCCACCATATTTATTTATGCGCATGATATATCGCATGGCATCGTAGCTCTGAAACTTGATCAAACTTTCGTATCCTTTGCGCGAGTGCCGCCAGCGGGGCGGGGAGACAGACAGGCTTTGATCGACTTCCCCGTAGCCATCGGAATGAATCGGGATTTTTCGGCTCGTCTTTCACGTGAGCCCCCTAATTTTAGTAATTTGGTCTGACTCCTGTCACTAGTGTCAAGCTACAAATTCGATCGTTTTGCTCTCTAACTCTGACCATCATCTCCCTGTCCCCTTCAGCGTCTTTGATCAAAAATCAAAAATCTTTCGTCTTTTCTAGCTCATTATTGTCATATTCGTTCGCTTCTTTTCCTATGGCAAGGCCCCCTGTTCCTTCCGATCATCATCATCACACAAGTTCTCTACCCCTCGTTGCTGACGAGACGTCCACGGCCGATAATGGCTTTCATGCCGTAGAACGTGATCCTAACTCCTGGGCAGGATCTCTTCCTGCGAACCAGGGTCTGTATTCCAACGAGAATGAGAAGGACTCATGTGGTGTGGGTTTTATCTGTCATATCAAGGGCGAACATAGCCACAAAATTGTCTCTGATGCTCGTCAATTACTCTGTGCAATGACGCACAGAGGCGCCACTGGTGCTGATAGTCGTGACGGTGATGGTGCTGGTGTCATGACTGGAATTCCCCATCAGTTTTTCAAGCGCGAAGCAGAACGGGATATCGGATGCACTCTTCCTACACCAGGCGAATATGCCGTCGGCAATGTTTTCTTCAAGGCAAATGATCCCATTCAACTGCAAACCAACCAATCTGTTTTCGCCAATATTGCCAGCCAACTGGGCCTTCGGGTTTTAGGCTGGCGTCAAGTTCCGACCGATGGCACGATCCTTGGTCCTGCTGCAAGCAGCAAGGAACCTGCGATTTATCAGCCTTTTATCGTCCTACGCGACCATTACGGTCATGGAATCGATAGTCAAAATGGACCTTTCGATGCCAAGCATTTCGAGCGACAGCTGTACGTTTTGCGCAAGCACGCTACGCACACCATGTTTGTGACTTTAATCTGCTTAGTTCATGTACCAAGCTTAACACCTGTCTGCGAATTTTCTTTTTGTTGTATGAAGTACGCTTGCCAACGGCTTTTACGTCTGTTCTTTGTCCTCGAAGAACATCGTATATAAGGGACAGCTCACTCCCCCACAAGTATACAATTACTACCATGATCTCAATCACGTCCTGTATCGTTCGCATTTTACTTTGGTGCATTCTCGATTCTCCACAAATACGTTTCCCTCTTGGGATCGAGCTCAGCCAATGAGATGGGCTGCTCACAACGGTTAGTGATCTGCACCTGACGCTGCCAGGTAAGCCCTGACGTAGAATCCTTAGGTGAGATCAACACCGTGCGCGGCAACAAGAACTGGATGCGAGCTCGAGAAGGCGTACTTTCTTCTACTCATTTCGGCGATCAACTCGACTTGCTCTATCCCATCATCGAGACTGGTGGATCTGACTCTGCTGCATTTGACAACGTGCTTGAGTTGCTCGTCGTCAATGGTGTTGTCACGTTACCCGAAGCTGTCATGATGCTTATACCCGAAGCCTGGCAAGGTAACGAAAGCATGGATGTACAGAAACGCGCCTTCTATAATTGGGCTGCTTGTCTTCAGGAGCCTTGGGATGGTCCTGCCCTGTTCACCTTCAGCGACGGCCGATACTGCGGTGCGAACCTTGATCGAAATGGTCTAAGACCATGTCGCTACATCGTCACCAATGATGATATCATGGTCTGCGCTTCCGAGGTTGGCGCGGTATTCATTCCTCCTGAGAAGGTAGTTCAGAAGGGACGTTTAAAGCCTGGCCGGATGCTGTTGGTTGACACGCTTGAGGGAAGGATTGTCGATGACAAGGAGTTGAAGCGCAATACTGCTGCTAAGCAGAATTTTGCTTCGTGGGTTGAAAGCCACGTCCTTCATGTCCCTAATATCATCAAGCGCATCATTCGTAGCAACACTTCTCTAGACACGATCATTGACGATTCGCCACTAAGCAGTGACCCTAAGCTCCTTGCGTTCGGCTATACCGTAGAGCAACTTAGCCTTCTAATGCTGCCTATGGTAGACACTGGCAAGGAAGCGTTGGGTTCCATGGGCAACGACGCTCCATTAGCAGCTATGGCTACTCAACCTCGTCTCATTTATGATTATTTCCGTCAGCTCTTCGCCCAAGTCACCAATCCTCCTATCGACTCCATTCGGGAAAGCATTGTCATGTCACTCGAAGCATACGTCGGCCCTGAGGGTAATCTCCTCGAAATGAAGCCGGAACAGTGCCACCGCATTCTTCTACCTTCTCCTTTGATTTCCTTGCAGGAAATGAACGCCATGAAGAACCTGAAGCTTGCATACACAGGGTGGCCCTCCATCACTATTGACATAACGTTCCCAAAAGAAGGGGGGCTCCCAGGATATCAGCTCGCATTGCAACGTGTCTGCAGCGAGGCATCCCAAGCCATTGAGGATGGGATCAAGGTCATCATCCTTAGTGACCGTGCCACAGGGTCAAACCGTGTCCCTCTATCCGCGTTGGTGGCATGTGGTGGCGTTCATCACCACCTGACACAACAGAAGCAGCGTGCCAAGGTTGCCCTGATGGTAGAGACTGCGGAGGCCCGTGAAGTCCACCACATCTGTGTTCTGGTTGGGTATGGAGCTGACGCGATATGCCCATGGTTAATGCTGGAAACGATTCACAAGGTTGCACGAGAGGGTCTGTAAGTTGGATACGTCTATCGAGTTTCTTCTTGCTAATCAAGCAATGTTTCACAGTATTAAAGGCGAGAAGACCGTGAAGGACCTCCTAACCAATTACCACAACTCTATCGATAATGGTATCCTCAAAGTGATGTCGAAAATGGGCATCTCGACACTTCAGTCGTACAAGGGCGCTCAGATCTTTGAAGCGCTCGGTCTTCATAGTGAAGTCGTGGACCGCTGCTTTATCGGTACTGCATCTCGCGTACAGGGGGCCACGTTTGACTTACTTGCTGTGGATGCCTTCGAGCTTCATGAGCGTGGGTGGCCTTCTAGGGAAACTATCTTACCTCCAGGAATGCCCGAATCGGGAGAGTACCACTGGCGTGATGGAGGCGAAGCACATATCAATGATCCCGCCGGCATCGCCAATCTGCAAGATGCTGTTCGTGAGAAGAACCAAACCGCCTATGATGCGTACGCTCGTAATGCGAATGAACAAACGAAGAGTGTTCATCTGCGTGGACTTCTTGACTTTTGCTATGAGAAAGCTACCCCTATTCCTATCGAACAGGTCGAGCCTTGGAATGAAATTGTTCGTAGGTTCGTCACAGGTGCTATGTCATATGGATCAATCTCCATGGAGGCCCACTCCACGCTTGCTGTCGCGATGAACCGTCTCGGCGGTAAGTCGAACACTGGTGAGGGCGGTGAGGATGCAGAGCGCTCTCAGATGCTCCCAAACGGTGACACTATGCGTTCTGCTATCAAGCAAGTGGCATCCGGTCGTTTCGGCGTCACCTCCAATTATCTGGCGGATGCTGACGAGCTTCAAATCAAGATGGCTCAAGGTGCCAAGCCGGGCGAAGGCGGCGAACTTCCAGGACACAAGGTTTCTACATCTATTGCTCGCACTCGTCATTCTACGGCCGGCGTTGGGCTTATCTCTCCCCCACCCCACCACGACATCTATTCCATCGAGGATCTGAAACAGCTCATATATGACTTAAAGTGCTCTAACCCCCGTGCACGTGTCTCTGTAAAACTTGTTTCCGAGGTTGGCGTTGGCATTGTTGCAAGCGGTGTTGCAAAAGCAAAGGCGGATCACATCCTCATTTCTGGTCACGACGGTGGTACTGGTGCATCCCGCTGGACTGGCATCAAGTATGCTGGTCTGCCGTGGGAGCTTGGCCTCGCAGAAACGCACCAGACACTGGTCTTGAATGACCTCCGTGGTCGCGTCACCGTCCAAACTGATGGCCAGATTCGTACCGGTCGTGACATTGCTATCGCATGTCTGCTTGGCGCCGAGGAATGGGGCTTTGCTACCACACCACTCATTGCCATGGGTTGTATTATGATGCGCAAATGTCACTGTGCGTGTTGCATCTTCCTGGCATGCATGTGCCGCAACTAACCCGTTTACTTCAGTGAACACCTGTCCCGTTGGTATAGCCACACAAGACCCTCAGCTTCGCAGCAAATTTGCCGGACAGCCGGAGCAAGTCATCAACTTCTTCTATTATCTCGCTGAGGAGCTTCGTGGTCACATGGCCAAGCTCGGTTTCCGCACCATCAACGAGATGGTCGGTCGCGCTGATATGCTCAAGGTTGATGAGAAGCTGCGCACCATCAAGACCGCCCACCTCGACCTGTCCGCTGTTTTGAAGCCTGCTTGGCAGATGCGGCCTGGCGCTGCAACTTACCGCGTTCGTCAGCAAGATCACAAGCTGTACATCCGCCTCGACAACAAGTTCATTGACGAGTCCGAACCAGCTCTTACCAAGGGTCTTCCAGTTCATATTGAGTGTGACGTCACAAACACTGATCGCGCCCTTGGCACGTCGTTATCTCATCGCGTCTCCAAACTGTATGGGGAAGAAGGGTTACCGAAGGATACTATCCATATCTGCATGCGCGGTTCAGCAGGACAGTCCTGCGGTGCCTTCCTTGCGCCCGGCATTACAATCGAACTGGAAGGTGATGCTAACGACTATGTCGGAAAAGGCCTGTCTGGTGGGCGTCTCATTGTTTACCCTCCTAAACAATCGACTTTCAAGGCAGAAGAGAACATCATTATTGGCAATGTTTGCTTGTACGGCTCTACGTCGGGCGAGGCTTTCATCCGAGGTGTCGCTGCTGAACGTTTTGCTGTTCGCAACTCGGGGGCAAACGCTGTCGTTGAAGGCACGGGTGATCATGGATGTGAATACATGACCGGCGGTCGCGTTGTGGTCCTAGGAACTACTGGGCGCAATTTCGCTGCTGGAATGAGCGGTGGCATCGCATATGTGCTCGATACTGCTCACACTTTCGCATCGAAGGTCAATATGGAGATGGTAGAGCTCGGAAAGGTCAGTGACCCGCGTGAAATCGCTGCATTGCGTGGCCTCATCGAGGACCATCGTCACTACACTGGCTCTGAGGTTGCCGATCGCGTCCTCCATGACTTCCACCATCTGCTCCCGCTCTTTGTTCGTGTCATGCCACTTGACTACAAGCGTGTGTTGGAAGAGCAGGCTGCCAAAGAGAAGGAGGAAAAGATGAGGCTTAGTGTTATCGACTTAGTCCCATCTCGTACCGCTAGTCAAGTCGATCTTGCGTCGGAGGGACTAGAAGATATCCTCCTGCCGAAGGAACCAGCAACGATCCATGCTCCTCCCAAACGCCATGAGCCTGCAGTTACAGATCTAGAGGATTCTACTGTCGACGACTCGACCACAAAACATCGTCTTCACAAATTGGACAAAGCTCGAGGCTTCATGAAGTATCACCGACTCAACGAAGCATACAGACCCCCTAGAAAGCGTGTCAAAGACTGGAAAGAGATCTCGATCCGCTTGACTGAGAGCGAGTTGAAGTATCAATCCGCTCGATGCATGGACTGTGGTGTTCCATTCTGTCAGTCTGACACAGGATGCCCGATTTCAAACGTCATTCCCAAGTGGAACGATCTCGTGTTCAAGGGCCAGTGGCGCGATGCTCTTAACCGACTACTTTTGACGAACAACTTCCCCGAGTTTACTGGTCGTGTCTGTCCTGCACCTTGCGAAGGCGCGTGTGTACTGGGTATTAATGAGCAACCTGTCGGTATTAAGAGCATCGAGTGCGCCATCATCGACAAAGTATGTTAGCCACATATTTCATTGTTAATATCGCTTATTTTGAACAATTAGGGCTTCGAGATGGGCTGGATGACCCCTAATCCGCCGAGCTTCAGAACTGGGAAGCGAATCGCGATCATTGGCTCCGGTCCTGCTGGTCTAGCATGCGCCGATCAACTTAACAAAGCAGGACATCTCGTCTCTGTATATGACCGCAATGATCGCATGGGTGGTCTTCTCATGTACGGTATTCCAAAGTGAGTCGATCATAATCAGATCATCATGTCGACTATCCTGACATACATTAGCATGAAGCTCGACAAGAACATCGTACAGCGCCGCTTAGACTTGATGGAAGCCGAGGGGATTGTGCGTCTTCATAACCCGTGTGATTCATAGTCTCGCTAATCGTTTGAAAGACCTTCGTACCAAATGCTCATGTTGGGGTCACCGTTGATGCTCACGCTCTCCGAGCGGAGAATGACGCAGTTGTTGTGTGCACGGGAGCAACGTGGCCTCGCGATCTCAACATTCCAAACCGCAATGTAGACGGCATTCACTTTGCCATGGAATTCCTTCAGGTTCGTGCTTCGCCTAAATTTAATTGAAAATTTCGAATGCCTTCTTTAGCTCAACACCAAGTCCCTCCTGGACTCAGAGCTGCAGGATGGATCGTACATTAACGCAAGGGGTAAAGATGTTATTGTCATTGGTGGTGGTGATACCGGTAACGACTGCATTGGCACATCCATGCGGCATGGCGCCAAGTCGGTGACAAACTTTGAGCTTCTGCCCAAGCCTCCAGGTTCGCGTGGCAGAGACAACCCTTGGCCGCAATGGCCTAGGTCAGTGCTTCCAATTTTCGCGAATGCAATAACCAATCTCATTCAATCTTCCATCAGAATTTTCCGGGCCGATTATGGTCATACCGAAGTTGCTGCGCACTTTGGCAATGGTGAGTGATCTTTGCCGTCGGTTGACGTCTTTCCTCACTCTGTCTTAGATCCACGGGAATACTCTATTTCCACAAAGGAATTCGTTCTTGACGATGCTGGGAAACTCAAGGGCTTGAATACTGGTGCGTCGTGACTTCCCGAAGACTTTATCTGATACTGATTCCTCGCATCTCGGAATAGTCCGAGTTGAGTGGACCAAGGATAGTAGCGGGCGATGGAAGATGGAGGAGGTGCCTGGGTCTGGGAAGTTTTTCCCTGCGCAATTGGTTTTCTTAGCTCTTGGCTTCCTGGGTCCACAGTCACAAGCTCCCGAAGCCCTGGGTATTAAGCAAGATGTCAGATCAAATATCCAGACACCTCCAAAGGTTTGTTCTGCAACACTTATTATACTTTCCTGAACTTAACGATCCTTGCAGAAATACACGACAAATGTCGAGGGTATCTTTGCGGCCGGTGACTGTCGTCGTGGTCAGTCATTGATTGTATGGGGTATCAAGTAGGTGGAAATCTTGCCTCAAATTCGAGTAATAATGAAGATATTCTAGTGAGGGACGGGGTGCTGCTGCCGAGGTTGATGCTTGGTTGAGTGCAGGGTCCACACGTTTACCTAGTGCTGGCGGTATTAAAACCAGGGTGAGGACTTACCCACGATGATCGTGACTGTCTGCTGATATTAATTGCACCAGACTTTCGTGCCTCCTCCTAGCAATGTCACAAAGACGGTCGAAGTGTCTGCTTGAGCGCCGCGGTGGACGGCTTCGCGTTTTCGTCTGATAAATTTATAGGAATCTTTGTATCCATCTATATCATTGTACAGTATTCCCTGACAGTAGATCCATCAGCAATCTATTTTCGTTCATAGCTCACAGTCTCTCACAGAGGGTCACCTCCTCAGCCTATGTGTGGTGGAAAAACACAAAAGCACCGTATGCTGGCCTTGAACTTCTAAAGTGTGACTCGATGTGACCACTTCGACGGAAAAACGTTGCATCAAGGCAGGGCACGATGCATGTCGCATGTCTCCTTTAACCCCTGGTAATTCAGTCGGCTTCAGATTATTACCTTATTTGACAGCCTTTGTGATTATCTGGTGTGAACTCCTTTATGATCTGGCAGAGGTCAGATAATCTCGAAGTCCCTCCAAACGATAAATACCTACCTTGAGTGCAATCAAGAGTATATCTTCAACCATTGCCAGCGCTCTAACACTCTCAGAAATGCCCAAAGTTGTAGGAACCAGACTCATGGTCAAAGAAAGGGGAGGAAAAACTCAGTTGGCTTTCCGCAGAGCACTAGGTATACGCGGGGATCAAGACGTCCAGTTTCAAGAGATCAAGGTAAGTGATGTCGACCATATGCACTGCATATTGGTATCTTGACAACTGACTTTCCGAACAGCACCGCATACGAACTCTCGCGGTGAAGCACTTTGAGATCGGTCGAAAACCTCGGGAACAGGATCAGATTATCAAAGAGCGATTCTTAGCGGATGTACGGGCGTCTATCAATGATAGGAGCGCTACTCATGATTGATCACTCAGGTTCAAAAAGCCTTCCCGATTTTTGGAGATGACGAGTGCGCAAATGCACATCTACTCAGATACGTCGATAGATATCTTGGTGCCAAAGCGGTGCCGAGTTCACGCTTCTATCACATGGTGCACGGTAACGACATTGTAGATCATGATGGAGATTGGCTACTAGGGGACAGTGACAAGTCTGACAACGTCGAAGAACACCGTGATACGCCAGCGAATTCTGAGCCACCGGCGGGTCTTACTAGTACAACTCTCCACAACAGATCCCAGGTAAGAAAGGTTTTATCATCTCCGACAGCTTCCGCATTTCATAATAATACAGGCGATCTCTGAGCTGGACGAGGCAAATGAAGAAGCTTCTCGTATGGTTATCTCTGATGGTATCCAAGGTAGTATGGTGCAAAAGGTGATTGACATCCGTTGCATTTCGGAAAAGCGTACTGCAACTCACTCGACTTTGGTCAAGTCACCTGGCATCTCCGGTGACTCCTCGCCGAGCCCTACTCTAACGGATGCTTCTCGAACTATGAATCGTTCACCATCTCAAGATCCGCTGGCGGCCATGTCAATAGATTATGATACCACCTCGCGCAAGCACAGCGATCAGCCAAGGCGTGCGTCATCCGCGAGTACAGTATCGGCGAATGACTCCTGCCACACAACACCTATCAGGGACTTCCTCAGTCGTGCAGCGCTTGGCCATTTACTGGAGGAACTTATGACATTAGGCATCAAGAATCAGTCGCGTCTTCTTCTTGCAGCAACATGGTCAGAGGAGGACGTCAATATCCTTTTGCGTGATTCTGTGCGAGAAAGGAGGATCGACAAATTTGAGGCGCAGCAACTTGTTATTGCCTTGCGTTCTCTCGATCGGCAATCTATGCGAGTTGGTAACTGACTTGATGCCTCAACATACATTTCGAGCCAGTCACATCACTTCTGCGCATGTACATGTACTGTAAGTCTTCTTTAGCGATTAAGAGTTTACTATATCAAAGATACAGTACGGTACTGTATCTTTCGTGAGTAGCTTACAAAAGGTATTCAAAGTGACAGTAGTTTCTGTTGTTGTGCGTCTATGACAGTGCCCCGCAATCCCAATCTCACATAGTTTTCGCCGCTTGCTCAGAGCTCAACGTTGCCGGGGGTATGTCATAAACTGTACATCTTTTGATCAGCATGTTACTCCTCATATATTCTTACACCTCCTCTGCCCCAGTTTTGCATAATAGCGTGCCCTCCCTCGGTCGGTTGTGTAAACGCGACATCGCCATTGACAGGGTCTAGTCGACAACCGTAGATGAATGTCGCAGCCGCAGCTGATAGCAAGCGGCTAGCGATACCTTGTCGTCGATGTGCCGATGGGACAAACAGACGTGGTATACCGAGGGGAGTAGGCAAGGCCTCTGGATTGCAAAAGAGCCCCGAGGTCGTGTCGACTGTGACCAGCCTGTGGGTCGGCGATGAAGGGGGTAAGTCACGGTCAGTGGCTTGATTGGAATCACCCTTAAGTAAGGTTTCTGAAGGAGTGGCGACAGTCATGGCGGTAGATATTCGTTGAGCAATGACGCATCCTACTATCTTCTCTCGGTGTACATTGGTCAGTGATGGTATCAGATAGAGGTATGCTTTCGATGATTGTAGGATGTCGGTTGATAGCGGAGGAGATGAAAGGGCCAGATTTATCGTCTCGAGCAATATCGCAAGCTTCGGAAATGTCAGCCAGAGTCCATAGTACGGGTGCGCCGTAAGCATAATGCGGTCTGCTCACCTTAGATCCAATTCTTCCACCGACGTTCGCCTTGAAACAGATGATGCGACCTTTCTTTCCATTTTTCAGCTTCACTGCAGATTGTATTTCTTCTACGCCGACTTTCCCTGCTTCCCGCTCTTCTTCCCTGCCCCACTCCATCCCCCTTTGCACACGTGAGCAATGGGCACGATGCAATGACTCGTCGTCCGGTGCGCCTTGCGTATATGAGAGGCCACAAACTGTGCAGGTTCGTAGGACCGAGGTTTCTATAGAGAAATGGAGCTGCCTTAGGACGCTTTGTTTTGACTTTGTAGACCTCTCCGAAGGCGAGGTTTTGTTTGTTATCCGTTTCTTTGTGGGGGGCTCGTTCTCGGCGCCTTCCCCGAAGTGCTTGCGCTTCGTTGTCGACGGCGACGATGATGGTGAGGAGGACGGCAGTGACAGCCGCGAGCGCGAGCTGTAGGTGCGTTTGACTTTGGTCATCGATTGCATCTATTGCAGGCTCTGCAGGTGATGAGATCAACAGAAGTTGCAAAACAGTATGGCGCGACGCGTTTACATGCTCGCGCACATGTGACCTCATCACGTGCGTTGCAGACATCGATGGAAAAATTGGTCATGGGAAGGGGGGGGGGCTCGCCGAAGGCGAGCCGAGAAGCTTTGAAGGGGTCGGCCTTCGGAAGTCGGAAAATCATCCCAGGGGAACCCTCAGAAACTTCGAGACTCCGTCCGCTGCGGTGACTGTTGCTCGAACAATCAATCAAACGGGTGAGAACAAGAGAACTCTGCATTTGACGTTGAATTCAGGTCTCAGCGCTGGATATTACTGGCACAGTTAAATGCCCACCTCCAGCTTCAGTTCTGATCATGGTTAGTCTTTATTCAAGTGAATCACAGGCTCTTATATTGCCGTTTCGCTTGACGGATTGTCACGACTCACGACGGTACTTAAACTTTTAGTCCGTCTAATCTAACGGGTACCGGGTGAGAACACACTTCCATAAATTTTGTACTAATAACAATGTCCGAGCCTTTCATGGTACATTGGACCTACAGTCCATCACTCGATTATTCACTCCTTGTCCTCATCTATGCCCTCATCCTCTCCGCCATCCTCAGTACCATATAACATCACTCTTTTGATTTTGGCCACGGCGCACTTCACGGCGGCAGCACGCATGGACTCCGTTATATTCTCCGCCTGCTTGAAGGTTCGCGAGTGTTTGTACACAACTCGGATCACGTCCGGCTGAAAGCCCGAACGGTTTGCAAGCTCCCTCACTTTCTCTTCAAGCGCAAATTTTGCGAATGGTGCAATATCTGCGGTGTGGATTTGAGGATCCAGGTTAGTGATTCTGACAGCTTCAGCCTCCGAGCTACTGCCGGCGAAGGGACTATTGACGGTTTTCTCAGTGTTTGTGATCTCACTCCGAGTCGTTCGACCAGAGCCAGTTTGCCCCCCAGTAGTAGTAGACTTTGAGGCTGAGGATGTGTGCAAATGTGGGGCCATTGCCAAAATGCCGGACTGTGTAGTATACTAGTATAGTACTCGTTAGGTTGAGTTGTGAATGAATAAAGCTAGTGCACCCAGAAAGTAGTGCGGCAAATTTAATGTTTTTTAACTCCACCAATCAGGGATGGAAGCGAAATTCTTCAACGGCGACTTGGTGCGGCAGTTAACACGAAATTGAATTAGTCTGGACAACTGGAACTAGCGTGGTGGCTCAAGTAGTCAAGGTGAAAGAGACGACCCCTAATACTAATACTCGTCTTTCGCTCCTTCAACGCCACACAACCCGATCATCAATCAACACTATGTCAGTTTTTGAGCCCAAGACAATCCTTACTTTCCTCAAAACCTCGACGGCTGTCTCACCTCTCGAGAAGAATGTTTTCGAGAAGAATTGGAAGGCTAGTGTGAGTTTATCGTGCTCTTGTGCAGCTCGACATTGTGTGCCGTGGCAGTAGTACTTGATGTTCAACTAACCAACAAAAAAGGTCAAAAAACGTGTCAGCACTTGGAACGTGTCGCGCAGCCATATGAACAACCCACGTCCGCAGTTTCAGCTGCAGTGGGAGGCTGAAGTCGTAGAGTATGTCCAGTTTCTGTGGGACAAGACTCGGCCTTCTCGATCAAAGAAAACCGAGCCTAATAAGTTGGGCTTCAGTGTTCCTTTGCTTGGGCCACGGTTTGTACCTCCGTCTGACCTGCATGTCCAGAAGCGCTCTGGAGTGGGTGGAGCCATCGAGCCGACAACACAATACCTCAAACCACTCAACATTGTGCATCCGTTCTACTACCCACAGCTTGCACAGTGTCCGAGATGTGGGTCCAACCAGGATACGACTTGGGAGGGCTGGACCAGTAAAGGAGCTCGAGAACTCCATGGTCTGTTCTGTGAAGAGGCAGCTCTGGGGACACAGCTCCGATGCAACCGCTGCAAGGAATTGTCGAAGGCAAAGACCACAAATGGTGCTGCCAGTGGTTTGGTGGCTGACACCGAGGGATATTGCTTTGCAACGACGAGTGCAATGTACTGGAAAGGCTGGGAGCATTGGAGAATCCCACGTGAGTCTCGCGCACAGCAGTCGTCAGTGATCTGACGTATTCGGCAGGTGGTTTACCTATATTTTTCTACCGCTGCGGATTGACGCGGGACCTCTTCGACCTGCTCGTTGAGTTACGACCATCGTCGACCTCTGCAGGTCTCGAAGAACGTGTTAGGCATGAGTATCGAGCTCCATCGTGATGTACCCACATACCTGACTGATGCACTCACACAGAACTGCATCTCTTTGAGCACAAGCGCCAAATGTTGGAGTACCTTGAGGCTGTCAGAGCTCACGAATGCCAGAATGATTCGAAGAACACACTTGGAAACTACTTCAACAGCGCTAGCGTTACTTCGGGAAGACACCTTCAAGCATTCTCAGAACCCGATGACCCGCTTGGCTACGGTGACAAATCCATCTCTCGTGACACGATAACCGAGGTTTTCATTGACTTTTCGACTCGCACCAGGCAGAACGAGAGTGCAAATTACTTGAAGTCGCTATCAGGTAAGTCCAGTGGATATTCCCCCACTTAGGTACTAAGTTGTGTTTGTCAGCAATATGCGCTTCTCTGGACAACACATTCAAGGCCGCAAACAAGGCGACACTTACAAACAAGGACGGGCAAAAGATGAAGGAAATCAAGGGCAGAATACTCACTGTCCTGAATGAGGGCAACGAGATCATTTCTTGGGTAAGTATGGAGTCACTTCAGACACACGGTACCCACACTGATCCGAACTTTTCACCAGCGGTTCTGTCAGACGCGTGCAAACGCAGAGATCACAGAGCTCCTGCTAGGCCTTAAGCATCGTCATAATGTCCTTGGCCTCCTGCAGCCAAAAATGATCATCGCCGACAACTGTTGTCACATACGTGGCGCAGTGGCATCCGCCATGCCTGAGACAGAGGCCAAGCTGGACGTGTGGCATTTCAGTGCCAGGTATGTAACTTCAGCATGAGCTATAGTACTCTGGCTAACGGACCTACAAAGATATGTTGCTGCAATATTGAACACGAGCAAAAGTCCGTTCCGCAGCGCCATCGCTGCTGATATCTCGGGTGCAATCCTCAAGAAGCACGCAGAACATGGACGTCCAGCAGAATATTGGGATCGCGGGGAACAAGAGCAACGCCTTGTCATGACGTTCGATAAATGGGCTGAAAAAGGTGTGTGGTCAGCAGCAGCACAGAAGGTAAGCCTGCCCACTTCAATTGTTCTAATATTGACTGTCGCATTACTATGTTCTTCTAGGTACACCAAGAACAACTTAAGCACGTCCGAAAAGGGTGTCTCGAGCGCTCTGATCAACACCTTAGGTCTGATGGCAGTCGCGTTGAGGGCACCCACAAAGGTTGGAACTCGTTGCAGCATGCTCAGCCGAGTGGCATCACGATGTTGTGCGCGCTTGGCCATGACTTTGTCCTCCGTCGAAATGTGAGGGTCGCTTACAGTAGGCGTGAAATGACACCCTTCGTGAAGTTCACGCATGGCTCCCACCACATCCACCTCTCTACCCACGTTGCAAAGCTTTACAATGGACTGCGGGAGAAGGATGGCTGCACACTGCTTCCTTTGCCCGAACTCCCTGACGTGGACTCTGGTGAAACCTTCGGATTGGTTATGTCGGATAACGCAGCCACATTTGGTGGTTTGCTCATCAAGGAAGAGACCGTGGACACTGACCTCGCACACAACTTTGAGATTTACACAGATAGTCTTACCGGCGGGACTGTAGATTTCGCATCCGAAGCCAGCCATAGTGTCATGGTCAATGACTGGCAAATTGATCCGGCACTTCTCGAACGACCTGCTGCACAGCCTACTCAGAACTGCTTTGCAGGTACATTGAGGCCTTCGACTGATGCCGTGGTGAGTGACGTTAAACGACGTTGCCTGTCGCTCGTTTTCTGACTTGCTTTTCAAGACTGTTTCTAGCGACATTCTCATTGTGCCTCCCTCTCCGACCAAACGCAAGGCCCCTTGCATCTCCTTGGACTCTGATGACGAGTCAGACAGTACCAATACCGTGAAACGACTGTGGACTCTGGTTTCTCAGCCCACAGGCAATGTGTTAGTACCACCAGGTAGCCAGCAGCCAGTGGCAGAGGTATTTTTGTCCTTCTTTTGCTCATAGTGATGTCAACTGATCCACACTGTGGTGCTATGTTAAGGTCGTACTCTCGTAGGATCGGATCCGAAGGACTTCGGCCTCAGCTCGTACGCTGTGCCCCTTTCCCAAGTACTGTCCCTTATTTCAAAGTACTAACGATAACGCGTCCGAAGGTCCGGACGGGTCTCGTAGTATATCCGGATGTCTTCCGGATATCGGAAACGTATATAAGACTAATCCGGATGTATCCGAACTAGAAACTAACAGAGTAAGACTACCCGAAGGTAGAGCCGAGGATATAGACTATCGGAATCTATCCGAAGTCTCGGAGGGTGACAAGAGTAAGAAGGACTCAAGTCCGGAGGACAGAAAGAGGACAAACTAAGATGATATTCGAACTGAGGTACTACAGGACATATACACGAGTTTATATACTATGAGGATAACGGAAGTATCAGTAAGCAAGGGTCCGAGGCTATGTACGAAGCATGTGCAAAGGTTATCAAACGCGAGTCGGAAATGAGACATAGGTTAACGGATCAGTAATCATACCGGTAATAAGCATAACCGAAACACCGGGAAGAGGAAATACCGAATAGGCTGTGTTTAACGTTATATGAAACAGGAAATGAATTAGAAAGCTTATCGTAAATCGGATCGGAAGCGGATCTATACATCGGACCGGACCGGATCTCAGGGTCCGAAGTCCGGAAGAGAAGCGTGAATATATGGGATATGACAGTATCCCCCCCTTAGGGCCGATCCCTAGAGGCACAAGAACCATCGGTCCGGACCGGACGAGATTATCGCGAGATGATGGAGAAGCGTCTGAGTTCGGAATCGGACAGGTATACTCAAGGGCGGACGTCCCAGGATGATTCTTCCTTTCCCACTTTTTACTCTCTATAACGCTCTATCGAAAATGTCTGGCAACACCTCCGGATCTCAGAAGACTGCTAAGCAGAAACTGCTGGAGCTTCAACAACAACTAGCGGACGCTGAAGCTGCGGCTCGGAAGGAGGAGGAGGAGATTCGGAAGCGTCAGGAGGCGGAGCGGAAGCGTGAAGAGGAACGGAAGATTCAGGAGGATCTTAAGAGGATTCGAGAGTCCGAAATTCGGGTGGAGGCAGAAAACAAACGGCGCAGGGAGATAGTAGAGGAAATGGTGAGTTTCGGATGGTTATGATGGCTTTGCCTGACGGATGAAAAGTCTCGTGCCATTTCCGCTGACAAGGACGGATCCTGCAAGCGTTGCAGCGACAGAGGCCGGACTTGCCTTTGGACGGATGCGGAGAGCAATGCTCTGGTGAGTTAATCCGTGTTTTTTTTTTTTTGGATCCGAGTGTTTTGACGTCCGGATAGGTCAAGTCTTGCGATATCTGCCGGAAGGACAAGGCTACGTGCCCCGGACGACCCGGAACTGTCAAGGTGCCCAAGGGCAAGAAGAGGAAGCATGCTGCCGGATCTCCATCTCCGAAAGGTAAAGGTAAGAAACGTCAGAAGAGTCCGACTCCTGAAGATCCGGAGGAGATGGAGACGGAATACGATGATCAGGCTTGGGTGGCCGCAGCCAACAGTATAGTGGCGGAGCTGGCTAGGACTAACACCCTTTTGGAGAGAAGTATTCAGGCGGCGGAAGGCAGCAGGGCTGCAGCGGACCGGATGAGCTCCGGAATTGAGCTGTTCCTTCAGCAACAGAGGGAATTTCAAGCCATGTTGTTCGGACATATTCGGAAGGGATTTCGGACGTCTCCGGGTCCGGAGGAGGAAGATGAGGTGATGGAAAGGGCGTCCGGAAGTGATGCAGGCGGATCCGGAGAGGCGGATGGGTCTATGGAGATGTAGGAATTTCTGGTCCGTTTATGCTTCTTCTCTAAATGTACTTGTATTTCGTATGCACACTATGTACTTCAAAGTTGAATAGGACCGGGTTTGTTCGGATATGCAGCGTGGAAGTCCGAAACTAGTTCGGATGCGTTACCGAGCTCCGTAGCAAGTAACCATGAAGTCTCCTCGTCCGTTCCTTCATATCCGGACCATCGGACGAGGTATAGGAGTTGACATTGTCTTCTCCGACGGTCTAATTTTGAGTCCAAAACTTCGGATATCTCATATTCGGGTTCTCCGTCGACTTCGACCGGAGGCGGAGGCGATTGGATACGATTAGGAATGGTATTGAGTGTGGCTGGTTCTAATTGCGAGACATGGAAAACTGGGTGTACGGAGCGCATGGAATCCGGAAGTCGGATGGTGAAAGAATGCGTACCCGGACGAGCTATGATTTCGAACGGACCTAAGTTCTTTTCCGAGAGTTTCTTGGACGGACGGGTGGATCGGAAGTATTTTGCTTTGACGAAGACCGGATCTCCGATTTTCATATCCGGAGCAGGTTTCCGTTTGGCGTCCGCAGGTCCTTGATATCTTTCTTGTGCGTGGGCCATTTCTTCTCGGAGGAACTGATGGAGTTCGTCAAGGTCTACTGCATAGTCTCGTGCGCGGGCGGATGAGAGGTCACGTTCCGGATGAACGGATAGGTTCGGATGATATCCCTTATTGGCGAAGAAGGGTGATACTCCGGTAGTAGCACTCGGAGCGTTGTTATAAGCGAATTCTGCCAAGGGAAGTAGTTCCGACCAGTTATCCTGCTGATAGTTGCAGTATATCCGGAGGTATTGTTCAAGGGTTTGGTTCGCTCGTTCGGTTTGTCCGTCTCCTTCCGGATGATATCCGGACGTGAAGTGGAGGACCATATCTAATGCTTTTCCTAAGGACCGGAAGAAATGCGATACGAATTCTGTTCCTCGGTCCGAAGTGACATGGGATGGAACTCCGTGCTTGGAAAACACGTGGAGGACGAATAGACGAGCGAGATCCGGAGAGGTAATGGTGTCGTGGGTAGGGATGAATATAGCTTGTTTGGATAGACGGTCGATTACGACGAGGATGGCTGTAAAGCCGGATGAGTCCGGAAGGTGCTCGATGAAATCCATGGATATAGAATTCCAAGGCTTTTCCGGTATGGGTAACTGCTTGAGCAATCCGTAAGGTTTGTGTCTCGGAACCTTAGCTCGGCCGCAGGAAGTACAAGACTTGACGTAGTCTTTGACATAGGTACGGATTCCTGGCCAAGTGTACTCGCGTCGGATGATATCTAGCGTCCGGTTCTGTCCGAAGTGTCCGGACAACGGATGATCATGAGTATTCTGGAGGACGCGAAGACGGAGATTATTAGATTCCGGAACATATATACGGTTGTCGCAGCGGAGGAAACCACTATCGTCCACCGTCCATCTCGGATCCGAAGGTTCCGGAAGATGTTCGGATGCGATAGGGTCATTAGGAAGTGCGGTCAGGATGTCTTTCCGGAGCTGGTCGATATCAATCAGAACGGCTGCCCTAAGAACCGGAGTTACTAGAGTTGAGGCTCGGAGGGACGAAGCTAACTGTTCCGAAGTGAATACCGGACGGAAATTGTGAGGGTTAACTCGAGCGTAGTCCTTATCCCCCTCTTTGGGATAGACGTCCCAGCGTCTAGTAAGGGAATCCGGTTTAGCTCCGAGTTTTCCGGGACGGAAACGGATGACTAGGTTAAACTGATGGAGGAATTCCGACCAGCGGGCCTGACGGCGAGAGAGGAGTTTTGTGGTAGAGAAATACTCAAGGTTCTTATGGTCCGTGACAACGTCTATCGGCTCGGCAGAGCCTTCAAGGTAATGTCGCCACGTCCGAAAAGCTTCATGGATGGCTAGAAGTTCCTTATCGTGAGTGTCGTAGTTGAGTTCCGGAGCGGTAAGCGTCCGAGAATAAAATGCCACCGGACGAAGCTCTGAGTCCGGACATACTATGGAAAGTATTCCGGCTATAGCGTAGTCAGAGGCGTCGGTTTCTACGACTATCGGAACATTCGGAATCCAGTGCGTAAGCACCGGAGCGGACGTGAAAGCTTTCTTGAGTGTTTCAAAAGACTTCCGACAATCATCGGAAAAATCCCAAGTAACCCCCTTGCGGGTAAGACGGGTGAGCGGAACTACGATGTCCGAGTAATTGAAAATGAATCGACGATAGAAATTTGCGAATCCGAGGAAGGATTGAATATCCTTAACTTTCCGAGGTTCCGGCCAGTCAACGATGGACTGGATCTTCTCGGACGACATGGTCAAGCCGTCCGGAGATAGGATGTAACCAAGGTATTCAACGGATGTGGTATGGAACGCGCATTTTTCGGGTTTAGCATAGAGTCGATGTTTTCGGAGACGGAGAAGGACTTCTCGGACATGTTCCTTATGGGATGCAAGGTCTTGGGAATAGATGAGGATGTCGTCCAGATATACGATAACGCATACATCCAGCATATCAGCAAACACGCTATTGACAAAGCGTTGGAATGCAGCCGGAGCGTTAGTGAGACCTTCCGGCATTACCAACCATTCATATGAGCCATAACGCGTTCGGAACGCGGTCTTCCATTCGTCTCCGTCCGCTATCCGGACGAGATGATAAGCGGATCGGAGGTCGATTTTGGTATAGACTTTAGCGCGGCTCGGAGAGTCTAGGAGGTCGGTAATGAGAGGTAACGGATATCGGTCTTTCTTGGTAATCTGGTTAAGTCCACGGAAATCTACACAGAGGCGAAGGGAGCCATCCTTTTTCTTGACAAACAGGACAGGAGCTCCGTGAGAAGAGGATGAGGAACGGAGGAGTCCGGAGGAAATATTTTCATCAAGAAACTTCCGGAGGGCTGCAAGCTCAACTGCAGATAGAGAATAAATGGTTCCGAGGGGCGGACTAGTTCCTTCCTCTAACTCGATTTTGAGATCATAGGGACGATGAGGAGGAAGTTGGCTAGCTTTGCCCTTATCGAACACATCCGAGAATTCGTGATATTCCGGAGGAATTCCGGACAGGTCCGGAGGATCGGATGAAAGGGAAGCGGACCGGAGGTCTACACCGGTCGGACGAAGGTAGATGCTGAACTGTTCCGATCCTTCCAATTTGCAGGCCCGGCAAAAGGCAACCGCATTGATCAAGGAAATGTTGGGGATGGTTTTATCAGCGGAGGTTCCGGATGTAGTCGGAGGAGGTAAATCTTCCATCGGAGGATGCGGATCCGGAGACGGAAGCGACGTCGGAGGTGTCGAAGGCATTCCATGAGAAGTCGTTCGGAAATCGATGCTGCCCGAAACCCAGTCAATCAACGGATTGTGTAGGGTGAGCCAGCTATATCCAAGAACGATAAAACAAGAAGAATCCAACGGAGTAACGTAAAACGTATCGGAGGTAACTACACCGGACGGAAAACAGATAGGCAAATCTATAGCTTCGGAAATCATATTATTACAAGTACCATCAAACAAACGGAGAGAAAGCGGAGATATCGGATATGTAGGAATTTTATTTTTTCGGACGAAATCAGAGTCTATAAAACAGTGAGAGGAACCACAATCAATTAGTGAAGGAAAATCAGAAATATCAGGAAAAGTAGGAATAGAAACGTATGGACAAAGAGAGTTCGGATCGGAAAGAGAAACAGCATTGAGACGTAGCTCCGTTGCACGGGTAGAGTCAACGCAACCCTCATCCCGTGCGGAGTCGGGAGGGTTGCGGACTATTTTTTTGCTTCATCCGAAGCCTCCGGTTTGTCTTCCGGAGTTACTACTGCAGCGCGGCCTTTGGCAGCGCGCGAAGTAGACTTGGTGCATTCCCGAGCCGAATGGCCGGGTCCACCGCAGAATAGACAGAGTTTGTTATCCATCCGTCTCTTACGTTCTTCGGACGTGAGCTTCCCGTCCTTTCCTAACTTGGAGGTAAGGTCCGGAGGTTTAGAAACGGAGGATGATGCGGAAGTAGCGGGTTTGTCGGATTTGTACCTCGAAGGTCCGGACGAGTTGGAATTCGTCCGATCGGACGTGGTTTGCTTAGGAGGAATGGAGGTGGTGGGTTTAGTTTCGCGGGCGACTTCTCCCTTCCGTTCCCAGTATCGAGCGTCGATAGTCTGGGCAAGGATCTTGTATTCGGAAAGGGTGGAAGGTTTACCCATGCGACTGATTTCGTCTTTGATACGAGCCGGAAGTCCGTTATAGAATTGGCGTCTTAGGGCACCGTCACCCCAGCCACGGACTTGTGAAGCAAGACGCTGAAATTCAACAACATATTTATTAATGCGTTGTCCGTCACGCATATGAAGTTGCTCCAATTGCATTTCCGCATCTCCGGACGGATCGTGCGGTCCGAAATTGGTTTGGAGTTCAAGCATGAACGCGGAGTAATCATCCATCCAATCCGGACGATCATCGTCCTCGTCGGCTAGGAGATCCGGTTCGAACCACTCGAGTGCCATACCCTTAAGGTAGGATTGGGCGAAGTTGACTTTTGCCCGTCCGGAACGGAAGGCTTTGGGTTTGCTTTGGAAGTGGAGCTCGCATTGGACGAAGAATGCACGAAGCTTCCGAGGCTCAGTGCCATCGAAAGTATCGGGCTCACGGATCTTGACTTTAGAATCTTCGGACGAGGTCGGACGACAATTGTTGCGTGCGAGATTGTCGATGGCTTGAGAAAGCCGAAGCATGACACGGTCTTGTGGGTTTAACCCGTCAAATTCATCATCGTTGTCATCCGGTTCATCATCCGGATCACCTCCGAAGTCATCCGGAGGGTTTCCACCAGGAGTATCTTCATCGTCCGGAGGTCCTTCGTCATCCGGATCACCTCCAGCAGGAGTGCGCGTAGGGGTTTCCGGATGCGGACGATTCATGAGTTGCGAAATACTTTGAGCAGGACCGCGTGATACACGGCGCTGAGAGAAACTGGTGAAGGCGTTAACTACGGATGTCGGATCGCGTCGGGTGGACGAAAGTCCGACAGCGTGCAAAGCGGCTTGGTTTACTTTAGTAGGAGCCATGATATGAGTAAGTGTACTTGGAAAGGTGTGAGTTCGAATATACTGTTAAGGTCGTACTCTCGTAGGATCGGATCCGAAGGACTTCGGCCTCAGCTCGTACGCTGTGCCCCTTTCCCAAGTACTGTCCCTTATTTCAAAGTACTAACGATAACGCGTCCGAAGGTCCGGACGGGTCTCGTAGTATATCCGGATGTCTTCCGGATATCGGAAACGTATATAAGACTAATCCGGATGTATCCGAACTAGAAACTAACAGAGTAAGACTACCCGAAGGTAGAGCCGAGGATATAGACTATCGGAATCTATCCGAAGTCTCGGAGGGTGACAAGAGTAAGAAGGACTCAAGTCCGGAGGACAGAAAGAGGACAAACTAAGATGATATTCGAACTGAGGTACTACAGGACATATACACGAGTTTATATACTATGAGGATAACGGAAGTATCAGTAAGCAAGGGTCCGAGGCTATGTACGAAGCATGTGCAAAGGTTATCAAACGCGAGTCGGAAATGAGACATAGGTTAACGGATCAGTAATCATACCGGTAATAAGCATAACCGAAACACCGGGAAGAGGAAATACCGAATAGGCTGTGTTTAACGTTATATGAAACAGGAAATGAATTAGAAAGCTTATCGTAAATCGGATCGGAAGCGGATCTATACATCGGACCGGACCGGATCTCAGGGTCCGAAGTCCGGAAGAGAAGCGTGAATATATGGGATATGACATGCTACCTACAGACGCTCGACAGCTACTTCTCCTCTAGGCGCATCACAGCACGAGATGCCAAGTCCTGCAACAAACCCAACAGTACTAGTAGCAGCGCTTCAGACCCTTTCTCCTCAGGCACTTCGACCACCGTCAGCACCAGCACAGCCCCCACTCGCATGATTCACGGCAGTGTTGCTGGTGTTGTCCGACGAGTTGAGTCGTCTGGCCAAACACGATCCCAGCAGCTGTTCTCCCTTGCCACCGGGATCGATTCCCGTTCATTGACACTTCAAGATTCTATTGAGTTCTACCTATTCATGGACATGCGTGCCGAATTCAAGTGGCTATCCTATCAAATGTCCTCGAAGCGCTGGGTCCTGGCTACCGAAGAGTACAACCATCGTCTCGCGCAGAAAAAGGGCAGTTCCGTTGTCGAGAAGAACCCGCAGGCACTCCTACGTGCGCTGGGTGACATCGAGCCGAAACTGATGAACCGGATCATCAAGAATGAATATACCTGTAAGTCATATCTGTCCTGTACATCTCTTCTCACAGTTTCTGACATCTGGACCACAGCAAAGAGGAACGACGAATCATTTTGGCGCCATCATTGTTCCGTTGTTTCCCTCGTCAAGGAAGACCGAGGGAAAAAAGTCAGTCCCTGCATCATTCAAAGTTCGCGCCAAGTTCACTGAATTCGTTTCATTAGCCCCGAAAGGCACAAACATGCTCGCGCTGCCAAACGATCATGTACCCTGGCCCCGAAAACTCGCCACTCAACCACAAGCGGGGCTACTGTGCCGATGGCGTCAAACAGGTGTCGAAGAACAGCGGCGAAGAACTCCCTCCCTGGCCTCAGCCTCAAGGTGTCTTCTCCGAAGGCCGCACATTCCACCCTCACACATTTTTATTAGCTGTTCAGCGTGTCTACGAGTATGTTTTCTTGCAGGGACCGGGAGAGATAGATTTGCTTGAAACGGAGGCCTTCGCGAAGCTGCTTGTCTCACGCACTGAGGTCCATGATGATGGTGCAGTGCTTTTCCGGCTGTTCACTGACTTCGTGGTTGACCCGTCCACCCCCCGTGACCGCATTATCATCCGCAACGACGAGCAGTGGCTGAGGATCAACTTCCTCCAGCAGCCATAGTTGAGATTAGTGTATGTCTTCATGCCCTCGTCTTCATTTACAGTTTTTTTTAGTCTACTCTGTCTAGTATAGTCATGTTTGCATTGAGCAATCATATCAAACTCTTCCTGCTTTGATGTCTGCATCTTCAACTCATCCTTGTTATATACCCTGGACCTTCTCACCTCGTTTCAGCCTGCAGGAACTCACATTCACGCTGTGTCATGCCTACGCTCGTGCGACACATTCCGTCTCTGAATCGATTCCAGCGCCCTCTGGAAATGTTTCACGCCAACAAACCAGAGGCTCTTTCCCGCGATCCCCCACCAATTCAACAAATGACAGGCCGTTTTTCAGCCCCTCCTTTTCTCGCAGAAATACACAGGCTCGAGCACAAGCTCAACAGGGATGCCCCCCTCCTCTCTCTATTCTATTGAGCTCGATTCTCGATTCATTCTCTCGCGCGGGGAAGGGACTTCGCCTTTGCAAACTCGAACACGTCATGTGACCCAAAAACTCACGTGCCTCCAAACGGTCTGAACGGTCGGTCGGTCTTTGAAAAAACGGTCGACCGTTTGTCAGCCCCCCCTTCCCATGGCGCAGCTGCCCATCGATGTCTATTAGGGTGCGGTGAAAAATTATCCAGCCAGTTATTAACTGGGTTATTAACCCAGGAGATGGCAGTTAATTATTAACTGACATTTTTTAACACATATTGACAGTCGGCACGTGATTTTTTTCGTCCAAGCTATAATTAATATTAACTGGTCGAAAACAGGTGTTATTAACTATTCTTGATGAAAAAAATTCTGTGTGCTGGGCAATGATTTCACTTCCAGACCCATTCACCATCAGCATTGCCGGCATCATCAATGCAAGCCACCATTTGCTCTCTCTTCTTACCTTTCAACACACTCCCTTGGGGTGGATCATCAGCGAGAATTTTTGTGAGTTCCGGCACGTCCAAGTCAATGTCTTCCTCAGCATCGAAAGTGGAATCACCAGGCATGTTTTCAATTTTGTCATCGAGCCAGGTATGAGTATCTTCATCAAGTATCTCCTTGTGTTCATCACCGTGTTCGATAATCAACGAACTTCCTGTGATACTGTGCGTCCGCGAAGCAGTGCTCTTTCCTTTGCCGAAAATGACCTGCTCAACATCAAAGAAGTCCAACGTGGGTTGCTCGCGCAAGCGGAATTTCTGTAAATTCAAGGCGTTAGAAATGTGCTGTGTAAAAACGATATACTGACCTCAGGATCATACATATGCCTCTTCTGTGCGATGCACTAAGGGCCGATAGATTAGCACAATATCAATTGATATAACGGCATGCCTAGGATGCCATGGTAGGACATGGTACATTATTTACAGTTCTTGACCGGTGTCCCTCCAGCGTTGAATTATTTACAGTTAATAACCCGATTAATAACTCGGTTAATTAACCGCTGTTAAAAATTATTGAATTTTTCACCGCACCCTAATGTCTATTGAATGTTCAATGGGTCAACGTCTGTAAACAACCTTGGTAACAGTGCAGGCTCTCAGGCAGGCCGCAGCCCATCCCTCTTTAACTATTCCTTTTAAATCCCTCAAAAAATGCTCTCATGGAGCAATTTAAGTAAGACGCCCTGGTCGCAACTTCCGTCCTTCATTTTCACTTTCCTCTCCTTTCTACCACATATATCATGGGCTTCAGAGTGGATCGGCTATTCGTCAGATGGATATGCTACTATGACACACTACAGCCTTCCAGAAAACTTTATTGCAGCATGCGGGTGTACATCCACGAGCACAGATTATCCAACTGCTGCAATGAATCAGATGGCATACGGCAGCAGTACATCCTACGGCCCCGCTTGTGGACAATGCTTCAATCTCACCCTACTAAACTCTTTCCTTTCAAATCCCCCTTTCTACCCCAACGTGACAAAATCAGTAGTCATCAAAGTCACTGACTTATGTCCATTATCTCATTCCGGCTGGTGCAATGCAACTACGCATGGGCCGAACGCGTAAGCACACCTTTTGCGTTGTTCCAACATCTGATCTTCGCATAGTGGTAGTCACTACTTGAATTTTGACCTCGCATGGCCCTCATCTTCGATTCCAAACGATTTCTTTCCATCAAATGAACCACTTTATGGTAAGCACCCGAGATCGTTGCCGCACGCACAATTGATTCGGGTTTCTAGGTTATACTGTGAGGCTACTTATTGCCGCTGTGCTTGCTTATAAATCATTGTGCAACCAGGACTTTGGCGTCTGGAATATCAGTTACCAGTCGGTCTCATGTACAAATTGGAAGGGCTGGAACAACGCTGCTGCTCTCGGGAGTGTGGTTAACCTGGGATACAGCGCATGCTGTCCCAACAATCCAGCTGTTAGTCAGTCACTATCCTATATCTAACTGTTACCACACTTTTTCGTCAGGGAAGTACTAATGATACTTGTCCGTCATATTCTGACGACAGTGGCATCCCGTATGTGCCTTTTCGCTCATTTCTCGAAAAAAAAATTCTGACAGTGTGTACGGCCAAAAGACCTGACACGCAAACATCTGGATTTGCTATATCCTCACCGATTTCGCTCCTTCCTATCGTCACACTCGCTGTATCGTTAGTATCCCACGTGTTGTAATTTCTTGGTTTTTCCGGCTTCATGAATTTTTTGACATACCCCGAATGCATTGCAGTGGTGCGTACAAGAACGATGGCTACTCCATACAGCATGTATTCTTCACACTCACGACTTCGATACTTATATTTGGACATCCACTGCTGGCATAAAAGCTAGCTCAGAGTCAGGCCTCGATGGGCTCAGCTACAGATACATCACCTGAATTACCAAGTAATTCAAGCAAAGCCCATAAACTGTCTAGTAATACATGAGTCATAGTCAGTGTGGAAGTTGGGACAAAGGATGGACGTACAATTCCAAAGATCGCACGGTAGGCATTGAAGAAATAAGTTTGCACATACGCGTTTGCAGAGAAATGTACGTTTATAAGAAATCTCTTCCACTAATCGTGGTCGGGGAAATAAACAGGGGGCGTATAGAGTCTATAGGATATAAATTTTATGGGTAGATAGCCGGTGCAGGGCTCCATAGCGTCACGGTGGACGAAAAGCCTTCCGAGTCGTTCGCGAAATAAATGATCCCGTTCTCTTCGATGCTAATCTGGTATGTTGTCCCCACGGTTGCCAAACTGTAGATGCTGACGGAAGAGGCCCAGTCCACGTTGACAATCTGTGTTTGGCATGTAGTGTTACCCTCACATGTCGCGCTGTAGTTCTGGTGAGAGGCAAAGATTAGGAACGACCCAGTTTGCTTCAGCTGTGCCTCACCTGGAAGAAACTGTAGTGACCGGCACCTTAGGGAAAATGCATAGCACGTAAACGCAAGCATCGCATGAGCACATGATTAAGACGAACCAAACACGATGATATCAGTGGATGATTGCACCCAGAGACCCCAAGCCATAGTTGTGTCATTTGCAAATGTCGGATCATCGTAAACATTTGAAATATCAAATGGCCCTGGCGGTGCAGGATCAGGTTGGAAGTAAGGCTATGCAGAGATATCAGAGGCAAACTCATTTCGTCTTTGGATTAACCTACCGTCTCAGTCTGGATTAGACCCATGTAATGGTTTTTCGCCCCAACTAAACTATACTGGTAGAGTATATGATGTTCCGCTATTCAGGGCATCTATGAATTCATGGGCATCACCCAAGGTACAATACTTACAGGCTATGCGAAATCAGTATATCTGTCTTGTGGACAGAAGAGCAAACTCACATGTACCAATCATCCAGACAGGACCCTGAGAGTGAGACAAAATTCCTCTTCCGCTGAACAAGGTTAACTGGTCAGAGCCGTCGAGATCGTGATCCGCCAGCCAAACCCATGTTCCCTTGGCGAAGGACATTTGAAATCAGTGCGCTAAAACTATTGCTAAGGTCATAACGCCACACCTCAAGGTAAGCTGATGCACCATATGTGATGTGTAAACCAAGGAAAGCTGCAAAACATTCGAGATTAAAGGACCCCGCGGGGCACTCTGCGTCTTGGAGGTGGGTCCCATTAGCTAGAATAAAGAGTAATAAATCAATGTCCGCATGCGATAAAACTTCAAACTTGCCTCCCCCGAGCCTGTCACAGATGCAGATGAGAACGGACTCTAAATAAGATTGAAAAGGGACTCACCGGATGTGCGAATCCCACATTCCTGCAGCTCCTTGGAGACCAGGGGGATCGCGGACGTTCCACTCCACGACAATGGCGCCTGCAGCTGGTCCTTGCGTCGTGAACACCATATCTGTAATCTCTGTAATTCCCTGCGAGCCAGGTGTACCGACTTGTACAACAACGTTGGGGTCTTCCTGATTATTGAAATTAAGGCCGGCGCCCATAATCTGGGTCCAAGCCTCTCCAACAATTCGTGTTCCTGCCGGAACATGTATAGTTGAAGTAACCTTATAGATGCCAGCATCGAAATATATAATGTAGCATCCAGCGTACTGCCCCACATTTCAATCAGTATGAATATTGTCAGACTATCGTGTAGAAATACCTTTGCGAGCGCAGCTTTAATAGCTTCAGTGTCATCCGCCATCCCATCTCCAACGGCTCCCAATGACCTGACGCTCTTGAACTGATCGACTGAATAGTCAGCATACATGGGATGTCCTTTGCTGACAATGAAGCCATTGTGGTCCAAAAGGACCGAGTCCTTATGCGCGGAGTGTATCTTGCCCTGTGTGAACGTTCCGTTCGGGTGCGTCCCTGTATAAATGTTACCCTTGCCCCACGATTCAATGGTCCTTGTTCCACCAGCAAGGATAGTAGTTCCGTTTTCCATGACAGCGGTGGACACGTTATTGAGTTGGATGTTATTCAATACGAGGGATCCTGCAACGGAGACATTTGTCGGCGTGGGGGTCTTGATGAAGACAGGAGTGTTTGTGATCACTGCGTCAATAATAGCCTCTCCTCCATTCCCGCCACCCGAAAGATTGAAGCCGATTTGACAGTCATTAATTATGACGCGTTGGTAAGTCCATCCTGTACCCCATCAATTGCGCGCTCACAACAAAAGAACAGTTATTACCCCAGTTCCACGATCCAAACACAGCTTGGGACAAGTGGTATAGGTTCACTACACTGACATACATCGTAGACCTTACCTGTGTTTGCATTGTTGACAGTGAGATTACGCACGGTAAACCTGTAAGTGGACGCATCATGTGCTACGGAACTCGGAGGGTAACATGGACGCCAACACTTACTGTTGGTTTCCGACCCAGATACCATACTTTCCACCGTTGAATACGAGATCTCCCATAAAGCCACCACTTCGCTAGTGTTCATATATGTCTTTCGATGTAACAATATTTATTTACCTTCCAACTTCCATATATATGCCTGGGAGCATGAATAAATGAGCATACCATCATTCATAAGAATGACATACCCTGGTGATTGTTTCCAGGTTCGGTAGACATGTTGACTACAACGTTGACCAGCGACGTCGACTGTGATACTTCCCAGTGGATACCAGTGGCCGAGGCATTCGCAGGCATTCGTGTGAGGTCGATAATGAAATTACGCGCCGACCGGTAGCTTTCATAATATAAGGCCATCGATGTCATGCATACAAGGAAATTCGAACGACACATACAAGCTGTCTTGGTTGATATACCAATTCTGATTGTTGGTGTACGGGTCGGCATCTGATCTCGTTGTTAGTAGGTCTTCTTAAGCTAAAGAAGCCTCTCCGTACCAATTACAGCTAGTCCCGTGAAGTTAGCACTGGCAAGCAACGTCGGAGGTGTTCTTGCGTCGCCCACCATGACTGTGTAATAATATGCTTGGAGTGGAGTAGACACCAGGTAGGTTCTGATTAAATGCGTCAGAAACGAACCTGGCATTATACACATATACTTACCCTGCTGGGAAGTAGACTACTGCCGGAGTGGTTCTGACGAACCGTCGAGCCTGAGAGTGTACTGGATATCTTGGAAATCTTGTGACTTACGTTGATGAACCGCAAGTCAAGTTACCACATCTGCTACCGGTGGAGATCGCGGCACTACAAAAAATAAGCATTATGATCATCGATGCGATGGACTATGCACTTAATGGCAGCAGTGTCATCATGCACACCATCGCCCGCAGCTCCATAATCCTTCACGTTTCGAAACACTTTGTACTTCGTCGCATTAGGTGCAAACGGTGCTACACCCTGATGGTGAATGTTTTCGAGCCAGTAAGGTTCTCCCCACAATGCATTTCCTGTAGTGAGAGGCACACCACATGCTGATCCCAATGCGGCGACATGGGTGGTCTGGCTCACGATCGCGCCAAGGGCTAGCAAAAGTAAGCTTGCGAACACCATGCCTTACCAGCGAGTGAGATCCGCAGAGTGCAACGGAGAAAACGCTGACACCTGAAAAATTTGCGTACCCACTTTATATTTGCCTGAAGATAAAATGGAAGCGTACCAGTTTTATCTATTTAAATAGATGGCGTCCACATTGTGCGACGGAAGAACGTCGCCTTGATAACAAACCCAAGAATGAGATTGTTGGCACAATCATTCAGGTGACCCGTGCGTGGAACTCGAACATTTGATGAGCTGGCCCCCCGGGGCATTCGACGGTGCTAGTGGCGGAAGTCAAGTTAAATGCCGTATAGTGACTTACGTGCTAATGTACATATGTAGTTAGTACCTTTGCTGAACCGCACTCGCCGACTAGCGCCCATTTGGCCAACTTAAACCAGCTATAGGCTTCGAAAAGGCTGCATCCCTTCTATCTCATACGTCATGGAGGAATCGAAGAGTCGCATGAGCCACAAAGACGTTCAGTCGTACTCGTCGGCGTCGACGATACACAGGACAAACGAACGAACAAACGACTCTACTAATCTCACGCACTGACACACTGATCATGGCAGTGACATAATATCATGCGGAAACACAAAAGTTGAACTTGCCTCTCGGAAACGTCCGAAGTGGGACCCCGTAAGCATTAGGCACCTTCAGCATGCCGCAGCTACCCACACTGAGTCTCCCTAAATTTAAAAGCTCGCATACCTGTTTCTCACCGATGCGGACATCCCGTCGCAAGTATCTCGGTGACACTTGTATATGAAACTATCCACCTGACTCGGACTGCCACCATTGCATCTCAATGCAAACAATGCACATGGTGGCAAGTGTCCTGACCTCATTATTGATGTCAATGCGTTTCTCACTACTATCCTTCGCCGAAATCCCACCATGGACTGGACGAGCTACAATGTGAATTATAACCACGTCGTGGTGCGTATCTGTAGACACACTTATTCCCACCCTGCACACTGGTAGGCTACATCACAGCCACAAGGGTATCCCTGCTCGCGCTCTTGAGCGAGATGAAGAACGACGTGCTATCTTCATGAACTATATCGCCGAGACAGCTTTGGGTCCGGAAATGCTGATATTTGGTGACGAAGCTGCGAAAGATAAAAGGACATTAATTTGTCGATTTGGCGTTCGAAAATTTTCTTCGTTAAATAGCAGTCGAAGTGTACCGTTCCTTTTCAGTGACCTTATGGAGTGATTTATCGTGTTTCGCAAGCATAGCTGTGAGGAAGGCAGGACATTCGGGCTCGGAGACATGAAAAATCTTGACCTTCCTAGACTTCACCTCATGCATTTCTAAAAGGGACGTTCAAAGCTGTGTTTACGAGGGGTTTTCACGAGGTTGTTTTCAAATCTGTCTTCGAATTTCGGCAGTGACGGCGGGGCCGTCGGACTCCGAATTTCGGCACAAACCGAGCCGCTATCATCATCTAAAAGTTTAGATTCTACGTAAGGTTCATCAGGCATTCAACCACACTATGGCAAAGATTTAGCTAGCCTTATTTACAGCTATTTCCATATCGATAGGCCAAAATCAATTTTACATTACTTACTGACTTTGTTTATCTTTGGAGTAATTTGTCAGAAACATCAACAAAGGCGCAGTACAGCTTCGGGATCCCACCCTCACACGCCATCATGTAGGGAATCGTCGACGCATACTGGAGTCCATCAAACAACAATGGGTCCCACCTGAGATCGAGGGATATTGCCAATGCCACCCACACCAGTCATCATACCATCAATCATGCGCTTTGCCTCTCATGGCTCACAGGGTCTATCATTCAGAAGCCCTTGCAAGCTGGTCATCCTTGTCAGCCTCTATAGCAGGAGGCTGCGGCTCTATCTATTGAGGACAGCTACAACACGCGCGAGGACTACCGACCATGAGCCAGGACTCCTGCTACTGCACCCAGACCTACCTAGGTCTGATGGGACGCCCCGCTCCATCTACCCTCTCCTCAAAATGCAACTGTCCCCAGTTGCACTATGAAAGATGATGTGTGGGACTCCGAGTATGAGGACCTGCGCCAGACCACCCTGGTACAATGGTCACAAGTACAGCTTGAAGCTTGTGTCGAGCGCACCCTGGACATTTTTCTACATGAGCTACAGTCTGTACTACAGGGTGCTGCTGATTGCAATGAGGAGATTTGCAGAAAACTTTCTCCCTTGTAATAGAGCTGAAATACATTGTTGTCATCGTTGTACTATGTCATTGTTTGCCAGTGCCAGAGACAAGCTGAAACTTTAGCAGGGCTGGCACTTATAAATGACATGGAGTAGCCCGACAACATCATGCTCAAATTTAGAAATATGTGACATCACAATCAGGGAAGGCGGGGAGGCGGTTGTTTGTTTTGCTCCAAACCTAAACAAAGGGCGGTGAGTTTGTAAAATGGAATTTGGCCTATCGATTTGGAAATAGCTGTAATGTACAATATTGAAAATATATATCACAATTGCAGATCACATGATAAAGCCATAGATAGGTAGACTACATTGGTGAGATCTCCCAGTGGTACAATGTTGACAAGCTTATGGTAGTACATTGTGATCTACTAGCACATTGGTATACTGTTATCAAATGTATCTACTCTTACATAGCCAGCTTCCCATGGCAGAATTCATAATCAATAACTTTGTGCCAAGATATGATATAGCCACAGCAACAATTAGCAAGATGCTTATTTTCTGAAAAATATATCAGGCTATAGATAGCTAGCCTTCAATGATGGGATCTGGAAAGCACCAACAGTGTGTTGGGGTTTGATATTGCAACAGCAACTACAACAAGACAATTATTTTCTACAAAACATATCAGGCTTTACATGGGCAGTTTTTGGTGGTGGAATCTACAATTACTAACAGTGTGTCATGATATGATCATGCACTATCAAGATGCTGATGTTCAACCAAATATATCTAGCTTTATATAGCTAGCTTACAATGGCAGTACATATAATAGCTAACAAAATTCTAGGGTATGATATTGAATTGTCAGGCAATATCAAGATGTTGAATTTTGGCCAAAAACATCTGTGCAATATCCAATGGCAAGATATATATTCACCAGCAGTATGACAAAGTATGATCATGCCCTATCAAGATGCTGATGTTCAACTGAATATATCTGGTTTCATACAGCTAGCTGCCAATGCCAGAATATATAATAGCTGACACAATTCTAAGGGTACACTGATGAATTATCGGGCAATGTCAGGATGTTGATCTTTGGTCAAATACGTCTGTACAGCTTCCAGTGGTAATCACCAGCAGTATGATAAGGTATGATCAAGTCCAATCAAGATGCCAAAGTTCAACTGATACATCTGGCTTTGTATAGCTCGCTCCCGATGACAAGACCTATAATGGCTAACAGCATGCCAGGGTATGCTATTGAATTGACAGGCCATAGCAAAATACTGATCTTTGGCCGAATATATCTGGGCAGCTTCCAATGACAAGATCTATAATCACCGACAATGTGGTAGGGTATGATATTGAATCGTCATGCCCTATCAAAATGTCAATTTTTCGACTGATCATTCACAATGGCAGGATCTATCACAGACAGCAAATAAAGGTGACACTTTGTCACATGGATGGAGCATCAATCAATTATATTAAGTTTCTATGATGAGCAATAATTGGTTACAATAAATAACAAATGTCATGAAATACAATGAACAATTATAAACGAAAGAAAAATGAAAATTATGTAGTACCAACACTCGCTTGTTCTTGCAAGGCAGCGCGTCTCGCATGAATTTTTGACAGCGCACTGTTTGTGCTGATACACCACTGCAAAGAGGATGAATTGGGAAAAATTCAACTTTGTAAAGTGTCAACATAGAGAACTTCTCGAGTTTGAAGAGGTGCATTACGAACCACGTCTACCATGTTATCAAGTCGGCTACTTCCTGACTTTCATCAGGATCCTCCAGCAGGTCAAGAATACTAAGATAGAAATTTTCGGAGTCTGTGACCGTGTCCGTCCATGAAAATACGGACGAGGAACTCAACGAAAAAAATCGAACCTGAAGGACCAATCAGCAGGTGGAAGCATACATGAAAATTTTTCGTGCATGCCTGTGTAGCAATATAGGCTACAGATCCTTTGGTTACCAACTTCATGCCATGGAGGTAAGCATTGCCGGAGCGTGTAGCTTTTGGCTCCTTATCCACTGAACTTGGAGAAGTAAAGACGTGTTTGAAACCCTACCAAGGGATATTGTATTGAGTGAGAACTTTGTTGCCGAAGTGCACTCACATAGACAAGTATTTTGCTCTTCAGCAACCCCTTCCATGGATCTTTGGGGTCGTAATCATACTCAGCATATAAGAACATGGGCCATTGATCTCCACGAACAGCGGTTTCACCGCTCTTGAGATTCTGCTTGGTTCTAAGTAGTGTTATGACAGCTAGTTGATTGAATGATAGAATGACTTACTCTGCATTTGACCAATCAAGGCCTGCAGGGCAAAGTAAAGCACTGGTGACTTTGTGATTGAACCCCTGATCTGACTTGATATTCCGGGAGAGGGGTGATATGACTACCTGTCCTCTGGGTACAAGCCATTCGAGGACAGCAGATTTGAGGGTCTTGGTATCATCACCTCACGCACCAGAGGCTCCTTTACCCAGCTGCAAACAGTGAGTACGATGGTATTTTAATTTTTTTGAAAGCCTACTAATTCTCCTGCGTGAATAACATCTTTCTCCTCGCCATTCATCAAACGATCTAGAAGACCAGGATAGGAGTCTATTGGCTCCATGAACACCCTGTGTTCCCGTTGAATGCTGTCATTGAATCTAGCAGTAAGTCATGGTGGCATGTAATCATTGCAATTGCACTCACTCGGTGGGAGAATCTTGTAATTCTTCAAGTCAGAGAATACCAGCAGTTAGAAGAGAAGGATAGTTACAAAGGGCAAAAACTGTGCGACCAAAATGCCGACCATGAAGTACCAAAGGATTTGAGGAAGCCCTGATGATGAGGACAAAGTGAGGACAACAGTAGTTCACCATGCGAAGAACACTGACACTTTTTTGCGCAGGCCCAGACAAAGCGCTGAACCACTGCGTTTGTGCGAAGAATTGGGATTATTTCCATTGCTACTCATAATAATAATAATAATGTTGAATGAGGCGGCTCTGATATCAGTAATAAAAGAGATGCTTTACTATATACCAAAAGACACGTGATCAAGAAAACTTCAGCCATCCCATGCAATAGATATCACAAAAGGAAACAAGCCCCGCCATCTGAGTAGCACAGATATTGTAATGTAAAAAAAAATCTGCCATCCCATTAATATTGGATGGCGTATTACCTCACCTCGCAGTATAGTCATATGGCACGCAGATACTTGAGTCTACAGCACCATTTCAGTAACCATTGCACCATTTGGACATTGTTACAGTCACTACTGTGAGCCCCCAGTCCGCACGCGACTTACCGTCGTAACAGACATCAGATGTCAGGCTCACCCTCTTGCAAGTGTTTGTGACAATGTACCCACATTGGAGGCAATGTCACACTAAGGTAAGCTCTTGGGCAATGCTGGCATGCAATATCAAATTTACAAGTTACCTTGAGCTTCCAACTCTCCTCGGTGCACAGAGGCTGTGATGTGGATGAATTATGTGGTAGTGATTGTGAGTGAGCAATCAAGTGTTACAAAAAACTACCCGGAATCAGACTTACCCTGCAGACAACTTCAAATGAAGAAATTGGTCCATTCAGGAACTCAAACGACAGGTGAGATTTGATGATTGAGGAGACTGAAAACCATCCAACGGATCTGAAAAAAATTAGGCACTGACAAGGAGTCCAAAAGCAGGCTAGAATCTGAGCTGTATCGCATCAAGGAAGAGCTAAGGAATGCAGAAAATAATATTGCATACCTTGTAGAACAGATGGCAATGTATAGGCAAAGATGGCTGGAGGAGTACTACCACGCTGACAACCTCGAGCATTATATGCCCTATGGAGTTTGTGTGCCCAACACTGGTCAGATCTTGAATGATGCTGCTTCTCCCACAGGGTACTTGGCCTGCGACATTGAAGGTTCAGAAAAGGGTGTGATCTGTGAGTCTGCAGGTGTTATTTTAGAAGAAGAGTAAGGGCACCTGCTGAGAGGACAATGCATAGAGTCAGGGTCCAATATGATGTATCAAGATAGGAATTATTATATTGACTACCTAATATCCAACTCAGAATTAAAGTCATGCTTTGAAGATTCGAGATCATGCTTACCATGAAAATTTCAAATGGGCGTTGCGCTAGTATATTGTACGGTACGTGCATGCCTCACAAATGCATGCCTGATCAGGAAAATGTTGTCAATGATGGGCAGTCGTACACTGCTGCTTAGATTCATACCAGAGTTTCACTACTATATTAACTATACTAAAATAATGTTATAAAGTACGTGAAAAGTTAAGTAAAGTCAAGGTACTGTATTAACTCCAGGGAAAAGTAAGTAGAGACAGGAATGAGGTTGACAGTTCGAAAGAAGTATGGTCAAATCAAAGAAGGTCTTGATATAGTGAACAACTACATTCAAACTCAGCCAGCATTGAGCACTAACTCACTTACTAATTGGGCATTGCCAGCTGGGTCTGAATCACATAGCCATTCATTATATCAATTGTGTCCTTCGCATCAGAGCATCCTTTCCGATCTCAAGTTTTGAGCAGCATTAGTGACTAAGTACATCGTGAATGTGAATATGTAGAGAGTAGTACTATTTGTAATCTGCCAGCTCCGCAGTTAGCTGGTGGTGTACTTAGTGATGCGAATACATAGAGTAGCAGTACTGATTTGTCCCTCCAGTGTTGGCTGGTGGTGTGTAGTAGTAGTGCACCATTCAGCGGGGGAGTGTTGGGGAGGCAGCGGGACTTCACTATTTCTACTCCAGTAGGAGGACCTCACAATTAACTTATGCAGCAATTGATCTTTGCTGTGGCATTTTACAAAACAATGCTGCTGCGCTGTGGCTCCACAATTCACAAAATTTGCTGTGAGTATTAGCTAAGATCCACACAATAGTGATTCACTACAAATACTGACATCGTGCATCTGTAGGTCTTCTTTCTCCTACCACCACCTCGATTATGATATGATAGCTTCGCATAGATAGCATCATATAGATTCTTGAATACAAAATATAGATTTTCAAATACAAAAAATGTAGACTTGATTACAAAAGTACGCAGAAATTTAAGTTCGCTGTAAGTCTGAAACTGATCATACTATGCAGAATCATGTCCAAACGCGCCACATCTGGTGGTGATGAACTGACTGCGAAGCATCACTGCAGGATTAGCAAAGGTAAGTTGTGATTGAATATTGTCACCATTGTTATTCATGAGCACAGTGCAGTGAATCAGACAGGACAATCAGCACTATATGATAATGGTGCATGGGAAATTTTGAAGCAATTCCTCACGATGTCCATGTCGTTATCTGAGATGGACGACTCACTTGTGGCATATCTCGGCGACTGGTACTCTGAGGATGACTGGGTGGAACCCTGACATTTGTTATTCTCTGGTGACACTGATAACAATGAATCCTTGAGGGTTCTTACGGCACTGTGGAGAATGTACATACCAGATCCATCAAAAAACCGTCCGTGCGCACATCTGCATCAAGTCTGGACAACCATTTGTCAGGCTCATGCGTCAACAAATCGCATAGGTCATACAAAGTAAGTGAATTTTATGAGTGATATTTTCATACACTAAACAACATATAGTGTAAAAATATGTATATACTCGATGAGGCTGAGGAGGACGATGAGGAGGAGGAGTATGAGGAGGGAGATGGAGATGGAGATGGAGATGGAATGTCTGTTCGGTTGCCGAAGGTCATGCAAATGCAAGAGCCATCGGCGAAACAGAGGTTGGCTGCAACCTTCGACGACATGGCCAGTTGGTTTGAGCAGAATTTGCCCAGCTTATCCCAAAGCCGCAAGGATTGCACTCACGGAGCTCCCGAAAGCAGGATGTATCTGCTTGATATTCAAAGTAGGTTTCTTTTGAGTCCTGTAGCATATTACTCACTCAATGCATCACAGGAACTGTCACAGAACATGTTATTGACCATCTTTGGAGGAAAAACTTCCCTGTCACCTTGTCAGCTTGGGTAGCAGGCCAAATTTACGTTGTTGTGGACAGTCCCAAGACCATCACAGATTCTCTACATAACTCGCTTTATGCTGCCGTCAAAAAGTACAGTCGCATCATGGACAAAGAATGTGGAGCAGTCGAACAATCACAGACCACTCTTCCCAACCTGGCATGGGTGAGAATCAGGCATGGCAAGTACAAGGGCTGCATAGGCAAAATCTTCAAGTCTGGGCAGGATACTGTTGAAGTCCTATGTCCTACACGCAACTTTCCCTATCCGATGCCCCAGGGGTGTCGAGCATTGGTCAAGCAATCTTGTCTTCCGAAAAATGATTCAGTGCCTGACATCATCATTGGTGATGAAGTAGTAGGATGGACATTCAAAGGAGAAAGGTATTACATGGGGCTCCTTCTAAAATACTTCCACTGTGATCAGCTCGAACTTCTCACCTCTCCTCACGTCGACAACATTCAACTCCATCTTGAATCCAGATGGGACAAACCTTTCCTCAAGAAAACTGTCATGGCATTTGCAATGCAATTTTTGCACGTGGAGGATCACACCAGGGTCATTAAAGGCTCTCTTAGTGGAGAGCTCAGTAAAGTGATCTCAATTGACCATACTTATGGTTCCGCATGCTTGGAATTTACCTTTCATGAATGTCCGGAAGAAATAGAAGTCCGACTGCAAGACGTCGAGCGTGTCTTTCGGGTCGGTGACTCTGTTAGAGTTATAGCCGGTCCGTACTTGGGTTTGGAAGGACACATCCTCCAAATGGCTGAGGACGTGTTTCACATTTGTCAGGTGGCTACTAAGGAAGTGGTAAGTCTAGTGGAATCAGTCAAATTGGAGGATGCACTAACACTTGCTGCACAGGTGGAAGTCTTGAAATATTAGATCGGCGTCCGTTGAGTCACACACTCCATTCAAACCTACAAGTGCAACAACATTTCGAGCCTCCCCCAGACTCTAACTCGATTGAAATTAGGGATTTCATTCAAGTCCTGGACGGGAAACACACTGGGAAATGTGGCGTCGTTGACTGGTTGTCTAAGGGAGATAGTTATCTGTGGTTCAGGGATCTCTTCACTCCAGTTGACACAAAGTCCGGACTGTCAAGTATCTCAGTTCCTATAGCAATGGTTCAGCAGATGGACCTCATGCGGACAATCCAGTACACAAAAGAAAGAGGCTACAATGTTAAACCTGGAGACACCGTGAGTGTTGCCCATGGGCCAGAGTATGGGGCAAAAGGGGTCGTACAGAGCGTGGACTTTCCCAATGCTCACTTGACCCTACTATGTGATGGTGACCATTGTAGAAACAACAATACAGCAAGGCGCGAACAAAGGCTCCTGGCTGTATCTGTAAATGTTGAAAGGTCGCGCATTGCCTAGTCTGCTATACTTGAGAAGACAAGTGTGTTCGACCCTAAAGGGGAAGCGAGTGCAGCAAGGATCTAGAAGTGTGCAATGAAGCGAAGTGCGAGAAAGCGCAGGTGTGTGCAAGGCACGAAGGCGCGGGAATGCGCGAAGCGCGGGAAAGTGCGCACAGGTATGCAGAAATGAGAGAGAATAAGCTTAAGTGATAATATGATGTAAGACCAGAGAAGAGAGATGCGAAATGTAGACAAATAGATTTCTACTATGTTCTACTAAGTAGTAAGTGAGTAGTAACTAGTAAGTGAGTGCAAAAGTGAAGTGAGCTAAGGTGCCTCATAGTATGTACTGCTGGTGCTTATATAGCACACCTAAGCGCTGTCATGCGGAGCTGAAGCGCTACCAAGTAAGGTATGTAAAGATATATATGAGTGAGAGTCCATGATAAAAATAAAGGTGGAATGATATGCTAATAAGAGAAATGGAAATATATGCACTAGAGGGCTTGGCGGACAGTGGATGGATGCTTCTGGATGGCTGGCACTATAGGGTGCTCAAGCGCGGGAAAGCATGTGTGCATATACATCGTGAAGCACGGGAATGGTGCGTGCATGGTGCGTGTTGCGCGGGAAAGCTGCGCCTCATATAGGAATAGCTGTGGATAGCACACAGAGTGGTGCTGCAAGTTCATGCTGTATACTCCTTGGTGAAAACTGCCATATCATGCCATGAGAGGCATGAGTCTCTACACTGTTTGCTTGTAAGTAATAATCTCTCATCACAACTCAGGCATCTCTGACTTGTGGTAGATTGACATTCAAATCAGATTTATCATCAAACTACACAATGTAAGCTTGAATTCTTTCGAGAAGGATATCGGCCAGGAAGTTTTTGTGATTGGGGGTGATCGGAAGGGCTACTGAGCAACACTCTACAGTCTTTCCCCCAAGACTTGTATCATTGCTATCCATGGGCAGCATCGCACCACCGTCAAACTTCACGATGTCATCACCAGGTGAGCGGCATCCACATTTTGTAGTGATTTCAATATTGACAACTTCTAAGGTATGACATGAGGTTAAGTGGTGCAATGCTCGAAGGCCCGGATTTGATTTGATTTTGCGACATGCGGAGAAGATCTTACTTGATGCTACCAGCCCGAAGTATCACACCACCTGTCGAAATCACTCCCTCTGGCTTGTCCACATCCATCACAGATCTCAGTCCCTCATCGTCCAACGGGTGGGCCAGCTGGTCTGCAAGCCCTGGGGATGTTGATATGGTGCATGACCCTGCATCCAGCATCAATCCCAGCTCATCCACATCTGACCCTGGGCTATTGACGGCCAGGATACCATTGACGCTGGGGCGGAGAAACTGCCAGACAGTGGTAAGCCCCTCGTTATGGCATTATAAACATGGTGGACTTATTTTCTGACAGGCCCGCTGCCTTGGCTGATGAACAAGGAATTTCCATCAAAGTTCCTCAGCTATCATGCGGTATTTAAGGTTTCACTGAGCTTTATGGGAGGCAGGCTAAATAAGTGGTTCATATCAATGGCTTGTCCTGACCCTTTCTGCGGTGAGAATGGACCCGTACCTGAGGGTTGCATTGCAGCATTTTGCACATCCAACAGTTCAGGCGCTGCAATTAAACACTATCATATCCCTGCCAGTGACCTGAGCCCAGCCCCTCCATGCAAGAAGAACCAGCATGTCCTTATCTTAGATGGGGATCATTGTGGGCTTATTTGAACTATAGCATCTTGTTACACTAAGGACAGCACAGTCAAGATTGCAATTACACCCACAGTTACCATAACTCTCCGTTTTGATGTCTGGTGGAACCTTTTCAAAACATGTCACAGTAGATTATGTACAGCACTATGCACAAATCTCATTTTGGGACACATCCTACGATACACAAAATTATGAAAATGCAAATTTGTATAATGTGACGTATATGGAAAGTAATACAGTATTGAACCTGCAGAATGGCCTTCGAGTTCCATTGACATCTACCATGTCATCAAATCATTCAGTGATGTTATCACCTGTATGTGCTCTTATCTGATCAATTTACTTAGGGGTGCCAAGGAAGCTATCCAAATATCATCAGTATTCAACTTGGATTGGAAGGATCGTGATGAGGTCATCCCAGCAGAGATATGTATTATCGCCTCCGACCAACGTTATGCATGTAAAATTGTTCTCAATAGTTGAATTCTCGTCCAAGAATCCACAGGATTGCCTGGCGCTTAGTACTATCAGTGCTGGCATCAACAACTTGATCATGGCCGACCAGTGCTTGATGAGTGACACATTCATCTTTTCATGCGTTCAATTGCCTGCTTGCACAGGTCTTATATTATCAAAATTCACCATTATTGCATGGCGCTGGGATTGCAGTGTCTCCCAACCCTATTTCAGTCACAGGGCGTGTATTTCCAACACCAAAAATCCACTACGGTAATCCTGCTTCAGTAGACCTGTGGTAAGTTCAGGACTCCAGAATGTATGGGATGCAATGATCTGATTCTCGACCTATAGATACCAACTGCGAAATGGTTCATGGAATAATCATTTCCATGAGCCAAACAGCTTATCATCTTGGTGGATTTTTAATTATTCAAGGGTCAGTGATCAAACAATCAACCAGCTCATCAACACTTTGCTCAACCCCCATATATATTAGCAAGCTCTAAGCCTCATATAATTTGCACGAACTCTTTTACGCTGTCCTGCATGATATGGGAATCATGCAGAACACATACATGACACATGATCCCACATATCTATAGTCTGTTAGCTTTGTCCTCAGACTACACAAAAAATAAATGTACTTTGAGTATAGACTCAAGTGCAACAGATAGCTTTGTGTGCTCCAATCACACAAAAAAGTACAGTGTTTTGAAGAAAAGTCAAATATGATGGAGAAATCATATATTGACATAGTCCAAGTAATGGGTGTATAAAAGCTTAGGTTATTACCTAACATTTGGCTTATTTACTTTGACTACAAATAACCAAGGAGAAAAGTTAAAAGCCTTCAAAAACCCTATCAAAAAGGCCCGTGTTTTGCTTTGTTTTCTTTTATGATTATTCCTACCTTATTTTCTCTATGTTTTTCTTTCATCTCTTTACCTATATGATTCACTGACATTTCAGATGCATCATAAAACGTACCTGCAAGGTATGATGTCATGATGATGTCATATGGCTCCACAGATAGTTCTGGCCTATTCTGTTGGTTTCTCTGATGTCATAGTGATGTCATTGGATGCTAGAATGTTCTGCTCCACCTAGCTCCACAAATGCTCCACAAATGCTCCACAAATGCTCCACAATGAGATCATTTATGATGCAATTCTGATGTCATTCCTCTTTTCAATCTTATTTCTTGGTACTATACAGTTTCTCCCATCTCATGTATAAAGGAGAGCCAATCTCCACCCAAAAATATAAGAATTCATTTTTCTTTCAAATACCTGAGAGAAATACCCCTCACATTCTTCCACTTTCCCTGACATTGACACTCTTTGTGTTAGCCAGAAAGTGCAGACCAAGTAACTAGACTTGTTCTGAGATCATTTTATCCTTTTCTTGACTGTACCTGTACTGCTTAGTGTGCATCTGACATACATTTCAAAGGACTAGGAGTATCAAGTCAAGCCAATTTATCTGTGCCTGCAGATTCCTTTGTTGGACTATCTGCATACATATTTTCAAGTTGTATAACTCGTAGTTGTACACATCCATTGTATTATTGTAGTTGTATAACACACGGTTGGTTATACACTATCATCCTATTATTTTGGATATATCCTTTGTGCTTTACTTCAAAGGAGTCCAAACCAGCATCTTTGTTTTGTATCACGCAGTCATACAAATCTCTCCATTTCCCATCAACAAGTCCTTACATATTTAGGCGGGGAAAATTCTAGCAATATCTGCTACATCCAGTTGCAACCAGTTGCACAACAGTACGCACATCACATCACTTATCTGTCTAGTCAAGAAAAAAGACTAGAGAGACTTATTTGTGTCAAGCATTTTTTTTCATCTAGCCATAGGAGAGGCTAGATATTTCTCTGCAAGGTCTATATTATCTGTCTTGTCAGATAAAGTTAGATTTCTCTTGTAGAACATCTACTGTTCTAGGTAGAATCACACCACCGGGCTGTATAGCAGGTAACCTCCCACGAACGACGCATTATCTACCACGAAAGAAGAAAAGTCATAGACCGCGAACTTGAGGTTGTTTGGCAGCATCTAGTCTTATCAAAAGTGTAATTGTGGTGTCATTGCCTTTTGACCACTTTTATATAAGACACCTCAAGTAAGAAGACAACACATCAAAGAGCACTGCGTCTTACTACCTATCTCTCATTGTGCATAAAAGTCACTACATTTGGAACTGTATTGTGACATGACACCGTGACATTGCACAGCATTGTGGCTGTTTCGCTTGTTGCCGGCTGAGCTTAAATTCTATAGTCAGTCACTATATAATCCCCATGACTTGAACACGAACATCTTTCTGTCTTCGTCTCCAGTACATGACCTAGTAGCAAGTAGTCACATAAAAACAGGATGTAATGTTGTTGGCGGGGGTACTGTATTAGTGTCTATGTAGCTGTAGACTTGAGAAAATTTCGGAATTCAATTTGAACTACAAGATTAAATACATGCTGGTCATGTACCTTTAATTCTTTGTGGGAAGTCGGTAAGACAACTTCTGTCACCTGATGGTGAATTTATTTAACTCAATGCAATACGAATAGGCTTGCTCCAGCCTCACCCAGGCCCTGGTTTATCATGCAAATATATATGTTATGTTAGGGAACACGTATTCATACCACTGTCTACGCAACTATGTCGCCTTCTCTTAGAAGCATGCAGCAGAAGTGTGCCAGATTGGTGATCTCATAACAGTTATGAGCATATGAAGACGTGCGCAAGTTATTAAACATACCTCTGATTCGATAATATACTGAAGGTATATAGGATCTGCCGAAGAATTTCTCTATGTTCACTGATTGGAAGTAAGTAGCATCCATTGTCCTTGATGTTCAAATGGACCTCACTTACACATATATCCGCAAGTGCTGGTCACACATTCAGCAACATATTCTCCTCAGCAGATCCCTGCAGGGCGTGCAAATACAGATACCTCAACATATCGGCTACCCGTGGCGCAAAGGCAACATGGGTAGCGAAAATCATGTGTTTCCCGATAAGCTTGGAATTGTGAAAGGTGTATCTTATACCTATATTGGTCGGTTGGCCTGTGGCAGATGTGAGTGAGTGATAAACTTCTTTTTATGAAAACAAGTGATTTACCATTGGAACATTGCTAGTTCCTCCATTTGGCCATGGTAGTGAAGTATACCATGGCGGGCAGTAAGGATCGCCACCAGCATCTTCAAGACTCAAGGGTCGACCACGAATTCGAATTCTGTAGATAGCATCAAGCATTCAGAATACAGAGAAGATGGTGCAGTCATCTCAGAGTTTGACAGAAGATAACTTATTCTCATATCTTTGGCATTTATATAGATAATGTGCACAGTTGTCTCCATTATGCCTGCACCATCACAATATTCCGTAATTCAGCTGCTTTGCCACCATCACAATGCTACCATCTCTGCCACCCGCCATCTCAAAATCCTGCTATTTGGCTGCCATTTTGCCATTGTATGCGCATAAAAACACCATTCACGGATTTGCTATCCCTCCATGTCAGTACCTGCCTATACGTGCATGTGTAAACGCACATTTACCACACAAAACCACTTCAGCCAGCATCAACACTCATGTTCACATACCAAGAAGCGTCTATCATCAGCTATTTCTTCCTTGAAAGAATTTGTCAGTCGCAGGAAAAGGGTGCGAACATCCTGTAATGAGAATAGTACTGCTGAAATTGTGGATTTGCCTATTCTATCATCGAATTTGTCTGCCTATCGCTGTCCTCCATCAGGGGAAGCCAGGGGCTTCACAGCATCTGAACAGTCTGAAGTTGCTGATGTTCCTCCGCCCCTCCCCCTGTCAGCTTCTGTAGGAGGCACTATCCCCCCTGATGATGAAGTAGGGGAAACCGATGGACAGAATATGAGCTTGGCTCGACACCGATTGAGACGACAGAATTGCCAGCTACCCAAGCAATTCAGGGACATACTTCCTCAGGCTCCACCCACCGTACCCTCAGAAGTCCATGACTGACCTCCCGCATCTGTCAGTCAAGTTGTGACTTCGTCCAAAAGACCAGCTTCATTATCGCACTCTATATTCTGCACGCAGCCAAACATATTCGGGCTAGTTTGCCAGTATTTCTCCTCTACGCCCCCATCCCACGACCCAGAAGAGTATGTCACCCTGGCAGATCTCTCCTTTATTCCTAACAGCAATCCGATCACTGAAGAACAGCCCCATTCACCCACTACTTCAGGCAGCAAATCTCAGTACCATCCCTATCCCTACCACTCTGCTTTTCAACTTGGTGATTGGTACTGGAATCAGGGGGTACGAAAATCGCAAGGGGATTACATGAAGTTGGTAGGAATCTTGGGCGGGGGAACCTTCAATGTCGCAGATATAAGCTCCACCCGCTGGAAGCAAATCAACTCTCAATTGGGTGCAAATGAGTATGATGAGGGAGATGGAGAAGAGTGGGAAGATGAAGATGCTGGTTGGAAAAAAATGCCGGTGTCTATTGAGGTGCCCTTTGCCCATACAACTAAAACACCGGGGCCTCACATCTATCCAGCAGCTGATCTGTACCATCGCTCTCTTGTTGCTGTTGTGCGAGAAAAGCTAGCCAACACCCGCAATAATTGACTGTTTCATTACAAACCATACCAGCTGCATTGGAGTCTGCCCCACCTCGATACTGAAGTTCCTATATATGGAGACTTGTACATGTCCCCTGCTTTTCTTGATGCCCACCACACATTGCAAGACATGCCCGGGAACCTAGCTGTGATCTCCCCTGAGTCGTAGCTGGTCTAATGTTCTGGTCTGATGCCACGCAGTTGACTTTGTTTGGCAATGCCAAACTATGGCCCACCTACATGTATTTTGGCAACGAGTCCAAGTACCGCCGCTGCAAGCTGTCATGCAACTTAAGCAATCACGTCACATACTTTGAGACGGTATGCCTTTCCATAATGTTTGTGTTCTTTAATGGATACCTAACTTTGCTTTGCTAGTTACCAGACTCCTTCAAAGATTTTGCAGGCTTTAACAGTGACTGTACAACCCACTGCCGGAGGGAACTCTTTCATGAGCAATGGAAGATTTTACTTGACAATGAGTTCCTAGAGGCGTATGAACATGGAATTGTGATCCATTGCTGTGATGGCATCATGTGCAGATTCTACCCTAGGATCTTTACTTACTTGGCAGATTATCCTGAGAAGTACGTGAACTTATAGTGTATGGGTCTTGCATTGGTCCTAACTTTGCTAGAGTGCTTATAGCCACAGTCCGAAACCTTGGAGGCTGTTCATGTCCACATTGTCTTATCCCAAAAGTTCGCATACAGAACATGGGAATACCTCAGGATAGGCAACAACGCAAGACCCTAGAATGCAATAATGATCAATGAAGAGTTATGGTAAGCATTGCACAGTCGTTGATCTATGAAAAGGACTGTGGTGTGGGGAGTGCAGCGGTAGAAGGTCTTATGAAGTCACAGTCTTGGGTTCCCACTTCGGTGAGGTTTAAGCCTCCATCAATGACTATGACTCACCCACCTATAGAATGTATTTTCCGATCAACTTGCTGATCTTGGTTTTAATATCTTCCACGCCCTTGTTGTAGATCTCTTACACGAGTTTAAGATAGGTGTTTGGAAAATGCTTTTTATTCATTTATTATGAATTCTTATGGTGGAAGACAAGAGTCTAGTCCATAAGTTGGATGAAAGGTATGTTCTGTAATCACTAGTCACCAATTCAGCCTGATATCTTCACAAGATACAGGCAAACACCCACGTTCGGCCCAGCAACCATCCAAAAATTTTCAGCCAACGCTTCGGACCTGAATTGTATGGCGGCCCAAAACTTCGAAGACCTTCTCCAGGTATGCTCCATCTCACACTGAAGTTGGATGGGCCTTGACTCGATCTGAAGTGCGCTATCCCTGTCTTTGATGGTCTTCTCCCTGAACCACACAATCAGACTGTTATGCAATTGCTATTTACTATGGCACATTGGCACAGACTGGCTAAGCTTTGAATGCACTCCGACCTGACACTAAACATTATGGACCAAGTTACTTCCACAGTTGGCCAACAGTTTTGGAATTTTAAAGCCACTGTTTGCTCAGCATACAATACACAAGAACTTTGTCAAGAGGCTGAGGCTCGCACCCAATGCAATGTAAAGCAAACTGCAAAATGAGCAGTAGGACAGCAGGGCAAACAAATGGAGCCAGCGATATCTCCCAAGCATACACAGCGCAATAAGGTATTCAACTTTCAGACCTATAAATTCCATGCTTTAGGCGACTATGTTTCTACCATTCATCTGTATGGCATGTCTGATTCGTACAGCCCTGAACCTGTCAGTCCTATCATGCTCAGTCCCAAAATTCACGTACTGACTTTATATCCAGGGTGCACTTGAACACCGCTCTCCCAAGGCTAGATATAGCCACATGAATTGTAAATCATTTGTGAAACAGCTGACCTGCATCGAACACCGTCAGGCTTGCATCCGCCACATTGGTGACAAGATAGTTCATCACCCCCATGTAGAAATCACCAAAATGGCAAGAAGCCCAGATGTTCACCACCACATTAGCATGACACAAAAGTACCCTATACACGTAGGAACGTACCTGCACAGCCATGAAGGTGATCCAGTGATCAAAGTCAGTCCAATCATACTTACCCCAAGAACACCTTCAAATACCCCCATACAGAATTTCCTTCTGAAGCTCAAGCAGCATTTATTACAGCATATTCACAAACTCACAGATATCTCATCTGAAGACACCAACACCATTATTATCAAGGATGATCGTTTGTATTACCATAACATCGCCCGATTCAATTATACTACATACAATGTTTGTAGAGCTCAAGACATCGTCAATCCACGTACTTCCCACTGTAATGTGATGGTTCTCTCCTCTGACAACGATATGGGACTCGAAGGCCATAGGTTCATCTACAGTAAAGTGTTGGGTGTTTATCATGTTAATGTAATCTACGTTGGAGTCAGTATGATCGATTTTACTCCTCTACGAGTTGAGTTCCTATGGGTTCACTGGTATGAGCCCATAGAGCAGGTCTCCTCTTGGGACACCTCTACTCTCAATCAACTCAGGTTCCCGCCTATGGATGACAAATCTTCATTTGACTTTATCGATCTGGAAGATATCCTCAGGGGTTGTCATATCATTCCTGTGTTTGCCAGGGGCAAGAGACATCATGATGGATTGGGGGTGTCCGTGTGTGTGGGAGACAAGGAAGATTGGCATGAATACTATATCAACCAGTGAGTCAAGGGGACAATTCATAAATAACCAAAGCTGAGCTCATGACTTTAGGTTTGTTGATCACAACATGTTGATGCACTTCCACTTTGGTCTTGGAGTGGGCCATGTTTACTCTCACTCTCGCTTCACACAGGTCAAGCCACAAGAAGTCGTCACAGGTGACGAGGCCGAATATACTGATGAAGAAGATGCCGATGATGAAGATGCTGATGAAGAAGATGTTGATGAAGAAGATGCTGATGATGCTGATAGTATCAGGGACGGACTAACCTTTGAGGAATGCTTCAATTCCAGCAACGAGTCATTGTTGTCTCAATTTGGCCAAATGTATGATACCGAACTAGAAGTAGATTACGAGAATTAAATGTTGCCCATGACCTTGAGGAACAGGCTTTGCCACCGTGTTGATGCACGTAATAAACTCAAAAGCCTAATAATCCTTCCTCAATGGCACTTGAATGGCACAAAGTGGCACTTGTTTAAGGTATAATGTTGCACTCTGCACGTAATAACATTGCAACGGATTGGTAAGTATCAAGCCGAATAAAGGCCTTTATAAACTTATATCTTTTATCTTGAAAATTGACCAACAATGTCTTTACCAGAGTATCAACTGCAGAACACCCAAGCCCTTTACAACTTCAAATGCTACATGTACAAAGAGACCTTCCCCTGCGTGATGCCTCTACTTGTACATCTTTCTGCCTTGCCAATTGCTTGTTCCTAACTCAGTTTCTTCAGGGAAATCTCACAGGTGTAATTGACACCTTGCACTTCATTGGGTATGTTGCGGTCGGCCAGCATCCAGTGTTGTGTCCATTGTATGTGAGTATGTCTTTTCTTGAGCATGTCCTGTTGTCTCACTACTATGGCCTGCAGTGTTCTCCGCTGGGTCTTGAGAACGTACGTGGGCTCATTTTTTTTATGAGCCTTATATATTGATTAGCTCTGAAGATACAACAGCACATCAGACTCTCCGCATATTTAGAGACCGGACACATCCATGCTCCTGCACTCGAGGTAGAATGCACTGAGGTACCACTCTACACCATAGATGTAAGTCGAATCCGAACTTCACCTCACCATCCTATTGATTGGTCTTGTAGAGGCACATCTCCCTTGCATCATTGGATCTGCCCACTAAGCGGACCAGGCAGGGCCAAGACAAAAAAATTCACATCGTTTACGATGGCATTGTAAGTCTACCTTGCAATTCTGGCTCTATCTCTGGTGATGGTTGCACAGGTTGATCTAGCAAACTTTCGAACCATTGTTCATTGGGCGGATTATCCATTAGGGTACAACATGCCCATCTTCAATTTTGATGGCATTCCCGATGTGTTGGAAGTCCATTCAACTGTATTGGTGAATGACCATTCATTCTTTAATGGTTTGCCTTTATCAGATGTCAATATGGCATCAGAAGGGGATGGTAGCTTCAGTGCTTACTCCCACCATGGAGCACCTTATCCCACCCACTCTGCCCCTTATATCGCCCACTCTGCGCCTCATCCCACCCCAGCTGCATCTCAGACACTTGTCGACGATGCGCATGACACCAGTGGCCAAGTTGTTCCCCAGCAGCCTGCTGTTAACTTGAAGCAGATCATGATAGAATACTCCAAGTGGAGGTTTGTCCTGGCCTACCTATGACTCCTTTTTAGAGTGGCAATTTGCATGGGGAACTCTGTTGTGAACCCTCATGAGATCACCACCAGTGATGCTGATGTGAAAGCTAACTTGATCGCCACTCTGTTTTCCCAGAGTCTCAAACATGCCAATACACTTGAGGTGCGAGATGTTACACGGGTTGTATGCCCCAGGAAGAAGTAAATGTCTTTTGAGATATCTTTTGTGCCCGCTCTCACTTAACTGTACCTCTTGTATTTGAAATATCACTGTCTTCCCAGCATGCGCTGTTTGACAGCGCTGGAGTAAATTCAGTTTGCCCAAGTGTTTAGTAAGCTCTTGAGCCGCACAAAGCTACATAAATTTAATTATTAATTATTTTGCTAACATATCTTATCTTGCTTGCCATCTTCCACCACCTTCCACCATCGCGCTATTAATAGCACCGGCTGATATGGCGCTCAAACTTTAAAAAGTCCATAGGCAGATAATTATAAGGTTGTCGTTCAACAATTGTGCAAATGTTTCAACCCACCAACTTTCGACATGGTGAAGATTATTTCAACTTTTTCTTCTACACCCATAGGCCATTTAACAAATGTCTTTCTTGGGATTGAACGCACCAAGGACGCCCTGGCATCTTGGCTGGGGACACATGGGCCCAACATTGTCAGTATCCATACATGTTTTCATATTTTTCACTCATGACTTTACTTCTAGCTTCCAGACTCCATCTTTATCATAGCTTCTGTGCTGTTTGGATTGGTCGACTCCCATGACCTTATGTCTCTTCTTGAAACAATCCTCGGAGAAGTTGTGAAGCAAATGCAGCTCCAGCAAGAGGATAGTTGTATACAATTCCTTAAGCAAGGAGGGTGTTGTGTTATGGAGGAGATGATGTATCACGCTCAGATGGAAATATCATTATATAGTAAAGCTATTGTGAACCTCTGCAAAGAGTTGGATGCCAGAAATCAGCCAGGTGTGCCACATCATTGAGAGGCTTATGTTGGATACTAAATGTATTCCCAGCATTGGGGCGTCTTCACCCAAATTTGGTACTAGCTTCAGTGAACACCATTGGGTCTACGGAGGCATCTTCTCATACACTCAATCTCCGTCCCTTTCAGCCTTTAAATGATATTTAAGATAAATCATACAAGAAATGCCAGGCATGGCTTCTTAAGTCAAATATCCAAGACACTGCGGAAGTTGGTTTTGACGTCAGCCAAATGCCCCCTAACTCTCCTTGTCTTCATGAATACCTCCTGAGGGTGAGTGCTAATATTATGGGGGATCTGGTGATCTGACACTATACAGCACAATGACAACCCCTCCCCACTGCCCCGTTTGATGAAAGCCTGGGTTGATGTTGATAATGTCATATATTGCTCATACATGAGCGCATCTCTTGCAGAAAGCAATGAGCCCCTACCTACCATGAAAGGCAACTGGTTCACATGAAGGGAGGCAAAGGCACCAGCCATGCTCATGTCTGTTTTTCATATTCTAGACTTGAAGAAGCAGCATGCTGTAGGGATTCATTTCTGGCTGGGCTGGTAGAGACTGTTTTTACCTTACCTTATGTTGGCACTTTTGTAGCTTACATAATCAAGTTATCTTTTCACCAGTTACCAGTATGAGTCTGAGTACTCAGCATTTTTCTATCATATTTCCTCTTCTCTGAGCCTTAAGCCTGGTCCAGAAACCCTTTAGGGTCGAATAGCAGCTAGGTTCTGCAAGACCCAATATTGTTCAGACTCACCATCTGAATTGTTGTACCTTCAGCACCCAGATTGAAGTAGACATGTTGTACGACACGATTGTACGTATCGCCGAGCTCGATGCCACAGATGATGACGGTAAGCGCTCAACTTTTGTTCTAATTTTATCACATTAAGAAAACTGTAGATACATCTTTGGGAATGGCTGGGACCTTTGAGTCACATTTACCTGATGATCGGTTTGATGATTGGTTTTCGACCCCATCCACACCTTCCAATACCTCTGACATCCTATAATAAACTCACTTATACTTTTACCACCTACTTGTAGCCTTTCTCCTTCCCTTTCAAAGTCGGTGGCACAGTTCCACCATCTGTTGTATCGGTGCCTCACATGAATTGGTTGTATGCTTGGACTTGATCTATGTTATTTCTACTACTCCTGTTCTACCTCTTTTTATTTATTTGACAAGCACGTTTTGACAAAAATGGTTGTGGCAGGATGCACGCTCATTTTCCCTGCAACAATTTATTTTGAAAATGTTTGAGTATTTAACAAGCGATACCTTGAAGTCATGTAAATAGCCCCTATGTGCTCTCATATGACATAGGTGCATCAAAAGAATCGGACAGAATACTAGATACTAACAAGTCCACTCACATTGTAATCATGGTCACAGGAAGAAACCGTTCTCAACTTTTCCGGTGTGGGTGTCCATGTCCTGGCCACAGAAAGTAGGTCCTAAAGTGCAGGCCATTGATCTGGACATGTCAGCAGTAAGTTTTGTTCAAGACATTCCTCCGCATACTGATGATTGGAGCAGAATGTGGTTAATCTAGTGCACAGTGGTATAGATCACTTGAGGTAGTCTTCATCCAGATGAGTGGTGAATCGTTCTCGTATGACAGTCAATCAGTTATCCTAAATTTCGATTTAGATAATCACAAAAAAATTGATTCCAGACACCATCTGGTCCGCCATTGCTATCACGGACATTGGTCAGTTCAAAGCTCAAGTGTCCTGCATGCCCTGGTTTACCCTTTTCTTGTGATTTTTGATACATGAGCATATCTACTGGCGAGGAACCATACTTTCAAAACCCATCTGTCATGATCCTCCTTTGCCGATCTATGAAACTCATTTCACCATCTCCTCAAAGCCTCCTGAGCCTTCCTCCCTGACAGGGGAGCATACTTCCGCCCCCCGCTGTCAGTCACGACCCTCCCTTTCCACTCCACGCTTGTCATCTTCCAATCTTCCCCAATCCCCCCTTCACTAGATTACGGACATCAGTGCAATCAAACACGAAAGCTGAAGTACATACCGTTTGTTTCGCACTACTACCAGCCTTGATCTAACAATGACTCTTTGTAAACTGACAGCATCTGTCAGCCTCATCTTCAAGCCATTAGCCCCACAAGCCCGCTGATCTCATTTGAGTATGATACTGAGATATTTGAAATTACTTACAGCATTTTGTGGCCCCATAAGATTTACTGATTTGATGACAAGTGTACGTTGAAGGAGATAGCAAAGTGTTACTAGTAGAGTCTGTAAATAGTAACTTCACAATTCTGTCTTGCCCTTCCGGGTGAAATGCTGTGAGAGGGACTTCAACTTCATGCAACTCTCACACTAGTTTCATCCTATTCTTTCTAACTCAACCCTACAGCCTCGTGTAGAACCCACAGAAGTCAAGAAGAGCGTCTTTGAGTCCAAACCTCTTAACCAAATCACTGGGCTTGTCGACCGCCTTCTCTCTGTAGAAGCTTTACACCCGGCGATTGCTATTCTGATGAGGGTTACTTGGCTTGTTGATGCTCACCCTGGGTTGGCCGACCTGATTCTGGGAGTTTAAAAGTATTCCATTTCTCCTCTATATGATGTGACACTTTTCCTCAAGGAACACAATCCGACTCTTACGCAAACTCATGCATGGTTCAGCACTACTAGATCGCTGACAGTTCCAGTTCACAAATATCAACCATCGTCAATAGCTTCCACTCTCTGAGTCAGCACTGCATAGGTCAATTTCGTCTTTTTCTTTTCTAATGGGACTCAGCGCATCTCCAGGTCACTTTGCACTTCTTTCGACGACACCAATGGATTTGATTGGGCTGCATGAATCGCACGACACCTTGTTTGTCACAAAGATTACGAGGCTAGGCTCACAGCTGTTATCAACTGTAAGTCACTTGTTTGCTTGTCTAACCAGTCTTAACTCGATCAAACATAGATTCCCTTTGATCCAATTTCCAGAAAATTGTCAAGTAAACCCGACATGAATTATTCTGTTTGACAGTTTTAGTCCGGCAACTTCAGCTCTGTCTGAGGTAAAACACACTTAAAGCAAGAGAATAATGTTCACAAGTTTATCTTTGCAGAGCTCATGGGCACCGAATATAAAAGCTCTTTTCGACCACATTGATAGATTTCTGAGGATCGTGCTCTTGATGTCATTGCATTGGTTAAGTCATGCTTCTGTCGAGGTACTTGCAATATTCAAGACTTTACTAGTACAGGCCCAGTTTTACCTAACTTTCTAGCAACTTTCCATGTATGATCTGATGGCTCTGGCAGCCCCTTATGATGAAGAGTGTGCTTTTTTATGGACACTGAGCTGTCAAGACTACTCCAAGTACATGCTAGCTGCTGACTGTCACAGGATGAGAAGATCGTCAGCGAGCTTCCATCTGGCTAAACGAGACCGATACAATCTCAGGTGTTCACGATGAATCAATTTGTTCAAGAAAGGTATCGTTGGTTCGCCCACATTAAGACTTCGTCTATTTCAACTTCTGACATCATTCTAGCTGAACATTACTCATCCGAGGTCCTAGCTTCTGCAACCATTGAGCATTGCATTCAATCACGATGCCTGCTTTCGCCTACTGGTATGGATTCAGACTTTTGTGCACAGTTATGCACACACAAGGGACTCCAGGGTTCCCTACTCTCGTGGTATATGACAAGGCATGTCCCTTTTGCTCTCTAATTTACCGCATATTTACTTGGGGACTATGTAAAGGTGGTTGTTTCTTCCTGCAGCAAATATGCAAGAACTATGGTAAGTCATCTACATTTCATAATCATGGTCATCCATAACCAGAGCACACCCTACCGAAGGACGCACCCAAACCCCAGCGGCCATCACTGCCAAGTTCTACCCCAGATGCATGGGAACACCTACTACACTCACCACGCCCTACAACTACCAATTGTTAAGGTCGTACTCTTGTAGGATCAGATCCGAAGGACTTCGGCCTCAGCTCATATGCTGTGCCCCTTTCTCAAGTACTGTCCCTTATTTCAAAGTACTAATGATAATGTGTCCGAAGGTCCGGACAGGTCTTGTAGATATATCTGGATGACTTCCGGATATCGGAAGCGCGTATAAGACTAATCCAGATGGATCTGGACTAGAAACGAACAGAGTATAGACTATCCGAAGATAGAGTCGGAAACGTAGACTATCAGAATTGATCCAAAGTCTCGGAGGTTTGACAAGAGTTGAAGACTCAAGTCCAGAGGACAGAAAGAAGACAAACTAAGATGATATTCGAACTGAGGTACTACAGGACATATACATGGGCTTATATACTAAGAGGATAACGAAACGATAAGTAAGCAAAGGTCTGAGGCTATGTACAAAGCATGTGCAAAGGTTATCAAACACGAGTCGGGAATGAAACATAGGTTAACAGATCAGTAATCATACCGGTAATAAGTATAGCCGAAACACCGGGAAGAGGAAATACTGAATAGGCTGTGTTTAATATTAAATGAACAGGAAATGAAATAGGAAGCTTATCGGATATCGGATCAGAAGCGGATCTATGCATCGGACCGGACCGGATCTCAGGGTCTGAAGTCCAGAAGAGAAGCGTGAATATATGGGATATGACACTGATACTGGACCGTGTTCTGGCACATTCAAGCAGGTCGTGGTCATGACAGTGCATCACAGTTTTCTTGTTTTTCATTGTATCAATCACATTGGTTTCACAGAATCTCACAGAATCATGCAGAAAAGAGTGAGACCTTGGTACTTTGGCAATATCACTTAGCCCTGGCATCCCTGTTCTCACTGCAACACTTCTTCTTGCAGTCGTGCTACTACTAATAAAATGAATATGCATCTAAGTTGCACTGGTCATCTAATGATATTTGTTTTGTGGTCAGCTACTAGCAGTTGTAATGTATGGAAGGTTCAATTGCCACGCTGTTGTCCCATCTAAAATACATGTCAATATTATATCTCCTTCGCATGGTCATATCTTCTTTCATATGTATGTGACAGCATGATAATATCAAAGCTGAACATATAATAATGAGTTTTCAGGCCAGCCAATTATAAGGGTTGGAAGGTTCTGTTGTCACACTGTTGTCGGCCTATAATACATAAATCAAAATTATGTCTCCCTTGTGAAATTATATCTTCTGTCGGACATGTGATAATATCATATATTTCTAAAGCTTAAGATATCATGGTTTGTTTTGAGGCTAGCCAATTATAATGGTTGGAAGGTTCAGTTGACACACTGCTGTCAGCCTATAATACACATACCAAAATTATATCTCCCTTGCAAAATCATATCTTCTGTTGGATATGTGATAATTCTAAAGCTTAACATATAATGATGCATTTGCAGGTTAGCCAATTATAATGGTTGGAAGGTTCTGTTATAACACAGCTGTCAATCTATAATATACACATCAAAATTATATTTCCCTTGCAGAATCATATCTTCTGTTGGACATATGATAATATCATATATTTCTAAAGCTTAAGATATCATGATTTGTTTTGAGGCTAGCCAATTATAATGGTTGGAAGGCTCTATTGTCACACTGCTGTTGGCCTATAATACACATATCAAAATTATATCCCCCTTGTAAAATCATATCTTATGTTGTATATATGTGATACCACGAGAAAGATATATAAATCCAAAACTAGATGTATAATAATGTTTTTTGTTGGTCACATGCATCTAGTCATAACAGATTCAGGCTGATTCCCTGATGTTCGAGGCATGAGAACCATCGTAGAATTGGGTCTATGTGGCAACACAGCTTTTTAGGACTTTTCATCTTTCTTGCTTTGTACCACTACATACTACTCACAAGTTCTCTACTCATCAACTCTCATTTTGTCGCACCCGCCCACCACTCCTTTGTAGCAGCAATGTGCATCTCGGTTTAGATCATCACAAGTCTTGGAATCCCTTCAAAAAACACTTGACACATCATTTTTGACTATTGAATTTCATAAGAGTTCTTGTTCCATGAGCTGCTATGGCCCACCCACCCTCATGGCTCACCTTGGAACTCCTTTACGCAGGGTCAAAACAATGTTTTGGGTTTTCAGCCCAAATAGCACCAAATGTTCATTTCTTACCATTTGTATAAATCAGACTCCGTTGGCTAGCAATTCATCTGATTTCTTTCTCGCTATGAAAAACTAAGAGCAACTGCATAGGGATCTGCACAGGTATGGGTAACCCGCATGGGTCATGGGTATGGGTACCTGCTGGGGTATGGGTGGGGGTTGGTTTTCGAGGCACCCATACCCTTACCTATACCCTCACTGTGGGTTAGCAACTGAAATTGTGCTGGATTGCTACAAAGGAAAATACTGAGCTCACTACTGTACAGCTGTCAGGAACTCAAACCTTATCTGTAGTCTAAAGACAAACATAGCTATCATATTGCCTGTCACCCCTACTACCAATCACACACCCAAGTCCAATATGTTCGGATCCATGAGCAAACAGATAAAGCCAAGGTGGCCCTTGAGGGTTCCAGCAAGAAATGGAAGAATGATGCGAGCAGCATGACCAGTACTAGTGAGTCCAAGAAGGCAAAACCCAACCGAATCAGTGGAAGCTCTAAAGATAGAGACACAGAACCACTCTCACCATCTCCACCTGCAGAAGATGTCCCTACTAAGCCCACACAATCCTGCAAAAGTGTCGTCTGAACAGAGGAAGAGGAGGCTGCAATGTATGAAGATGCCATCGAGATCAGCGACACCGACCAGAGCAGCAACAATGGTGTTGACAATGCTGACAATGACAATGAAGATGAGCCATCCAATACCAATAAAGAGGAGAGCCCTGAGGATGAGCTAAGTGAGCTAAATCAATTTTGGTGTTAATTATATCAGAGAGGTTGATGAAAGATTGGATCTCATCGCTGTATGCTTTTTTTCAATCCCAGGCCGCACATTGTCATCATCGAAGGATGGCACACACACGAGTTTAAGTGCTTTGGCAAAAGCTGCAAGGTAACTGTTCATCAATACCTCGACAAAAAGGATGTGCAAAGTACTGGGAATATGCAGAAGCATGTGAGGGCATGTTGGGGTGAAGATGTTCTCATGGCTGCTGATAATGCCAAGGATGTGAATGAGGCACATACTAAGATAGTCAGAGGGTTCCTATGAAATGGTGTAGAAACAACAATACAGCGAGGCACGAACAAGGCTCCAGACTGTATCTATAAATGTTGTAAGGTCGCGCATTGCCTAGTCTGCTATACTTAGATGACAAGTGTGTTCGACCCTAAAGGAGAAGTGAGTGCAGCAAGGATCTAGTAGTAGGTGCTGAAGGCGCTACTGGTTGGCCAATGCGAAGTGTGAGAAAGTGCAGGTGCATGCAAGGTGCAGGAATGCGCACGTGAAGCGTGGGAAAGCACGTGCATGTATGCAGAAACGAGAGAGAGTAAGAGTGAGTTTGCTTAAGTGATGATTAGACACAAGAAATGAGAGATGCGAGGTGTAAACAAATAGATTTCAACTATGTTCTGCTAGGTAGAAAGTGGTGGAAAGTTCCCAAGTTGGTAAGGTCCCTAATA